GGACTTCCCTGGTGGTCCAGTGGTTAAGACTTCGCCTTCTAATGCAGGTGGTGCAGGTTTGATCCCTGGTTGGGGAGCTAAGATCCCACATGCCTCGGGGCCAAAAAAACCAAAACATAAAACAGAAGCAATATTGTAAGAAATTCAATAAGACTTGAAAATGGTCCACATCAAAAAAAAAATCGTAAAAAAAAGAAAAAGCTTAAAAAAAATCCTCATGTATGCTGAAGAATTTCCCTACTGCAAATTATTCTACAACTTTACTTTTCTGTATGCTTTTTATCTGTCCCAAGATCTAAGTAAATTTGACACAAATGTTAGGTTTGTAAACAATTTTACTTTCAAATTCTTTACCTGGAGGCATCTAGACAGAATTTTGTATGCAAAAAGGTATTTACATCTAAAAATTAGACATTTTAAATTAAAATAATTCTAGCGTTATAGGTGGCTGCAGGGAAGAGTTATTGAAGTTTATTTCTGTTTTGGCAGTATGAATGAATTACTTACAGAATTCCAAGATTTTAGAGTTGTTATTATAGAATTGTTTATTATTTTCAGAAAACTCAATTTTCTGGCAGTTTTGCAAATGATCTACTCTGCATTTAGCAAAAGCTTGTTTTCCAGTTTAATAAAAATGTATTTTAAGGTTAAGAATAGACTCTCCTTTCCTGTGTGTGTGTGTCTGTGTCTGTGTGTGTATATGTATGTGTATATGTATATACACATACTTTGGGATCAACTTTTGACTGTCCTGTCAAGGGTTTTGGATTTGTGGCAAATATAAGCTTATTAATAACCACTAACATTTGTAAAATGCCTTACAATGAATAAAGCATATATAGTTTATATATTTTATCTTATTACATAGAATGCAGGTGGTAGCACTAACATTTGTGTTGTCAGTTCTGGTTCACTGAATCATAGATCTTCCCCAATGCCAAACTTTGCTAATGATGCAAAGAGCACCAAGTGCAGATGGAATATTCTTTTTTTTTTTTTTTTTTTTTTTGGAGGAACCCCAAACTCACACACAGATTCCAAAAATGTCCTTTTCTCCTGCATTAGTACATGTTATGGTTTTGGATTAACAGAATAGTTTTGAGCAATGTGTGCAAAAAAAAACTGCGCAAAGGAAGTTTTCATTTTGAAACTCCTCCGTTTTATATTTTCTAAATTACACAGCTTACTGATGTTGACTTAAAAAAAAATATGTACAACGTGAGAGTTGTGAGTTAAGATTTATGTGGGGCAAAATGAGGACTATAGCCTGGGAGACAGCATTTCAGATAACTGAGAAACTGCTCCAAAGAGCTAAGGGGGAAGGTCAGTATATATGTGATTTTGGTGAAGGGGAAGTACATGCAGTCAAGCACATATTTTTTGCACAAGGTTTTTGGTAGCCACGAGGAGCAGTTGTCACCATGAAGGATTTTAGTGCTTTTCCAGATATGAGGAGATACAAGAGTTGGGCTCATAAAATCGTCTCCTGAAAATATTGAACCCTCTGAAGACCTGTTCTGCCAGTTTTTCCCAGAGCGCAGAGGGCCTCATTCCTGCTCTCCACGCTGAACTCCTTTCAGGGGGTGTTGAAAGCCAGCAGTTGCAGCAGCACATGGTTTAATCCTTGTAGAGGTAGTTGGCAAGTGCCAATGGCAAGTGCCAATTGTAGTTGACAGGGCCCCCTCATGGTCATAAATTGGACCATGATTTGGGAGGCATTTCATGACCATTTCGTCCTGTGGTGCTAGGAAGGCTCATTCCTAGTTCTGGCGAAAATTTCGCTGATAGTCCACTCAGTGTGCTATTACTGGACTAGGTCTTATTAACAATAGTCAAAGGACCACCTGTCCTACTAGTCTGTTACGGTCCAGAAAAAAATTCCGCCTTGTTGCATCCATCTTCACATATCTAGAGTTGCACTATTACAATTATTGATTCATATAAAACTATGTATTTTTGTTGGAGGCTCAGTCACACATTTGGTAATGCAAGAAACAACAATCTTGTAAAACAGGCAAAATACAAATAACATAGCTAGCAGTATTATTAAAGTCGTAAGTAAGAATTTTTTTTATTATTAATTATTTACTTTTGCTGTGTTCGGTCTTCATTTCTGTGCGAGGGCTTTCTCTAGTTGCGGCAAGGGGGGGCCACTCTTCATCGCGGTGCGCGGGCCTCTCACTATCGCGGCCTCTCTTGTTGCGGAGCACAGGCTCCAGATGCGCAGGCTCAGTAGTTGTGGCTCACAGGCCTAGTTGCTCCGCGGCACGTGGGATCCTCCCAGACCAGGGCTCGAACCCGTGTCCCCTATATTAGCAGGCAGATTCTCAACCACTGTGCCACCAGGGAAGACCTGTAAGAATTTTTTTTTAATTAATTAATTAGTTTATTTTTGGTTGCGTTGGGTCTTCATTGCAGCGCGCGGGCTTTCTCTAGTTGCGGTGCGCGGGGGTGGGGGGTGGCTTCTCATTGCGGTGGCTTCTCTCGATGCGGAGCACTAGCTCTAGGCGCACGGGCTTCAGTAGTTCTGCCACACGGGCTCTAGAGCACAGGCTCAGTAGCTGCGGCTTGCGGGCTCTAGTGCACAGGCTCAGGAGTTGCGGCCCACGGGCTTAGTTGCTCTGCGGCACGTGGGATCTTCCCAGACCAGGGCTTGAACCCGTGTCCCTGCGTTGGCAGGTGGTTTCTTAACCACTGCGCCACCAGGGAAGCCCCTGGATTGATTTTTAAAATTAGGATAGGATCATGCCCATGATAGGAAAACATTTGATTCATATGCAAAGGTCCAAGAAGTCAAGAAAATGTTATAAAGGATCATACAAGCCGGGTCCAGGATCTTGGGCTAGCTGTCTACTTCTGATGTCTTCTTCCTCTCATCCTAGTGTGAGTGTAGTTTCTCCTCTGAGCATTGTTTTAAGGTGATTTTGAGTTCAGCCATAATCTCTATAGGCCAGTCCAGTGTAGGGACCCTTTGTAAGTGCAAATTAATCCGAATCAGTTCTCTTCAGTTTCAGTATGCATGAGCTAGTTAAGAGTCCCTGATAAGAGTCCTTCTGTCTAGGTTGGAGATAGTCCTTTAAATTATGTCTTTTCCAGTATGCATAATCCCCTGGTTGCAGGTCGTGGGGCATCTGATCTTCATCTAAAAGATTACTGAGATAAGCTTCAAAAACAAACTCAGAGTGTCCTTTTAATAATTTAATTAAACTTTGCATTAATATAACCTAACAGCAAGGAACTATCTAGGAAGTGAGTCTTAGTAAATACAGACCTCCATTAACAAAACTGGGATTTCTGGGATTTAATATTCATTGAAACATAATCTTTTTTCTGTCTGAGTTTATCCTCATTTCTTCCAAATATAACCAAATTAAGACCAATTTGTTTGCAAAATAAGTCTGGCCTCAATAAACTTGGCTTGATGATTAATATAACTATAAGTGATCATATAGGCTTTTTTGCTTTGATGAAACTTTTATAAGGAGTCTCAAACTGAACTTTTAAAAGACCTCTCAGGGCTAGGGAAGTCATGACAATGGCTTATCACAGATTTCGCTTAACAGATCTAGGTGAATTCCTCCCTTTTCAAGGTCCCCCAAATACCTTGAGATTTCTGTCACATGTTGTGCATTTTTTTGAGTCTATACTGACTACCCCCCATTTTCCAGACATAATTAATAAAGCCAGAATTCCAGGCTTATTTATGATGAGCAGCCTAGATAGGTTAGTTATATCTGGCTAACATTTTCTGGATAGATACTCTGGTATTTTTCTGCTAGTGGATACCACTGATAGATTTACAAGGCTACCATCCAGTTTGAGGTCATTAGCACATTTGGTGGTTGAGGTCTTTCATTCCTTCTTCCCCAGTAGGGCCAGTGAGTTCCCCTTTCCTGCTGTTAATCCTTTCCTTCCCAGTGCGTAAGAATGATGGAGTTTGTTCTGTATGGAAAATTTGTTTGCCAAAGTAATCTTTAAAAATTTTCTTTCATACATTATTAGTGTTCTCAGTTTTGGGGTTTATGCTTGGGAAAATGAGCACTTAAATGGATACTTGCTGGATATTGTTTAATTTTTTCAGAATTTGTATTGCTAAATAACAGTAGGGATAACGGGCTATCCCACAATCATAAATAGTTGCTTTGATTATTTCATATTGACATTGTTTCATCATAAGAATCTTCAGGTGTATACTAAAAACTGCTGTGCCTTTACTAGAAATTTGAGATAACAGGAACTAAGGTTGGGGTTTGAAGAATTTTATTAAGAATTTAAGGCCACTTCAGTTTAGTGTATTAAGTCACATGAGGATATGGATCTGTTTTATCTTTAAAAGAAAGAGTATGTCATGGTTTTCCTATTAATTGTATTTTCTGCAACCATTCTTGAAGTGTGGTTTATATTGAGTAGAGCCCTCAAAGCTCGTAACAGATTTTTAAAAAATATTCTCAACGAAACTCTTATTCTTAGGGAGACTGGTTCACTTGTTAGGCCAAGAGTATAATTAAAAACCCTTAATATAGAAAAGCTTATCTGTCTCAAAATTCTCTTCAGGTAGACTTGCAAACAGTTTAACAGTTTGATGAGTTTCCTTAGATCTTAGGAAAGATGATAAGAAAATTAAAGTTGTCAAAAATTTATAGCAGTTTATACACCCAGATATTCTCATTGTAAATAAGATAAAAATTATTTTTTAAAAGGATCAAAGTCAGAGAATAATAAAATTTTGAAACTGCTAGAACCTTAGAACTCAATTAAACTGGCTCACTTATTTTGGAAAGAGGAAATACTAAATGTATGGTCATTAGAGCTAGCATGTTGTATGTTTCTTTTTCTTTTGCGATTCCAGCTCTTATAACCTATGTTTGGGCCTAGATGCCGTAACTTAATTTAAACATGTATATTTGGATCGTCAATCATATTGATAGGTCTGTCTCTGAGTTTTCTTACAAAGACTGTATTTATTCACAAAGTACTTGTTTTTTGGATTTTGCAACTAGAACCTTTTAAAGATGAATGAACAAACATTGGAAACAACACAGCAGCGGAAACTTCCTGAATGGATGTCTACGCAGAAGACATATTCTGTAGAAGAAAGAAAGGTATGCCGTTCATTGATTATTCTTTCAGATGGAAAATTTAATGTGCATTTGACTGTAAAATGAGTCAATCCTAACTTGTAAACTTTAAGCCATTGTTTACATTTAGAGTTGCTGTTGTGTGAATGAACCAGAATCTAGTCATTGAATGGATGAATGGGATTAAATTTTAACTGGGTTTACAAAAATGAGAATTCTTACTCTGTACTTTCCCTTTTTATCTAGTTTACGTTGTTGACCTTGCCAGTTTGTTCCAATTCATATAATAATTTAGACAGTATTTATTTTGGTGAATTTTTATGGTTAAGTGAGTTTTAAGTCTTCATAGATTTAAGCTCCATCAACCAGTCTTCAGCATTTTATGGCAACATTATTGCATGTAGAATACTAATATAATTGAAGAAAAAATGTAATAAAATAAATGCTTTTATGAAAATAGGATTAGAAGTTTGCAAATAAATTTGTTAGAAAAATAATTTTACAGTGGGTAGCTTTATCTTTGTTAAATTGTCCGTATGACTTCATTAATCTATAAAGCATTAGTTGATAAAACTTAGAACTATAATTTGAATGCTTCAGTGAACTTTATTATTTCAGTGAACATTTATTATTTAATGTGAATTTTACTTGTGCCTTTTCGGAATTTTGTTTAACTCAAGGCATCTATTCAGAAGAGCGTTTTGGAAGATGATCTCCCCTTCTTAGAATTCAGTGGATCCATTGTGTACAGTTATGAAGCTAATGATTGTTCTTTCCTATCAGAAGATATTAGGTAAAGATTTAAATTTCCTACTTTCAGTTTAATTTGGACCCTTAGAATATAACTATTATGGTAATATTTGTATGTGTATTGAGTTTTATAGTTGAGGTGTGTTCAGTACATAATTACTTATACATGTAAAATATCACTGATAAGTTCTAATTCTGCTTTTTAAATAAAAACTTAAAATCACTGAATTAAATTTGTAATGTACCTGTTTGTTCATTCATAAGCCTTTCTATTAGTCTAGCTAATTTTTTGACTTGTCAGTACTTAAGATGTTATATATAGAACACACCAGTTTAGGAAAAACATGCAAAAATTATTCAACCTCTAAAACGCCCCTTTCTATTTCATTGAAAATACCAACATAGTAATACTGAATAGTGATTGTGATTGTCTCTGTTGCATTTAGTTAGCAACAATTATAGCAAATGATCCTGAAAAAGAACATTAAAAATGACTTAGTATTTTTTAAATTGTCTAATTAAATTAGTACTCTGCAATAATGCACTCTAAGGCTCTTGAAGCATTTTACAAGGAGAAATAGGGAATTCATTCAGATCTTTGAAGTTATTATACCTGTCCTTTTTTTTTTTTTTTTTAAACTGTTATACATTGGCATAGAAGAAGCAGAGGTAAATTAAGCTATTTATTAATGGTCTCCTGGTAGATGTATTCTAGAAATAGCATTCAGGTGTCCTCACTCCTACTATAGTTATCTGGCTACATTTGGGACTCATTAAATAGAACTAAATTGTCTCACAGAGAAGGTAAAATCTGTTATTTATGATTATGTATTAACTCTACCATCTTACCTTTGACAATGCTATAGTATGTCCTGTCTGAAGGCAATAAGCGTGGTTTGAAGAGTGTAGTTCTGATGAATTGTATGTTTTATGGAAGGCAGGCAAGTTTTTTTATTTTCACCTCCTTTGGTTACTTTAAAGATTTTTGCTATTCCAGGTTTTCAGCAATTAGATTATGATGTGCCTTTGTGTAGTGTGGTTTGTGTTTATCTTGCTTGGGGGTTCAGTGAGTTTTTGGATCTGTGGGTTTATAGTTTCATCATATTTGAATAATTTCTTCAAATGTGTTTTTTCTCACATCCTGTTATTCTCCTCTTTTGCCACTCTCAATGCAGATAGGTTAGATTGCTTGATACTGTGTTGTTGGTCACGAGGCTCTTTCAGTGTTTAAACTTTTTTCTTTCATTCTTTTTTCTCTCTGTGCTTCAGTTTGAATAGTTTCTTTGGCTCTGTATGCGAGTTCACTTATTTATTTTTTTATTCTGTAGTGTCTGTTCTGCTGTTATCCCATCCTGTGAATTTTAAATTTTGTTGTATTTTTCATCTCTAGAAGTTCCATTTGTTTCTTTTAAAAAATATCCTCTATTTTCGCTCTTATCATATTCATGTTTTCTTTTAAATCTTTGAACATGTTCAGCATGTTTATAATAGCTGTTTTAATATCCTCTTCTGTTAATTCCACTATACTAGTTATTTTTTCTGTTAAATGATTTTTTTCCTGCTTATGAGTCATGTTTTCCAGTTTTTTTTTCATAGCTGACAGTTTTTGATTGGATGCTGTGATTTTACCTTGTTGAATGTTAGATTTTATTGTCTTCCTTGAAGGAAAGGAGCTTTGCTCTGTCAGGCAGTTAAGTTACCTGAAGATCAGACTTAACATTTTGAGGCTTATTTTTAAGCTTTTTTAGGGCATATCTACGGTAGCCTTTATTCTGGACATGATTTAGCCCTGTAATGGGTGTGACCTTTCTGGCTGGAGTCTTAGTTGACTGCCCCAGGTGATCAAAAAGAATCTACTCCACCTTTTCAGAACTTTAATGCCTCTTACCTCTATGTAAGCCCTAGGAGCTGTCCAGCTTACAGTTCCCTGGTTTTTCTTTGTCTAGCCTCGTAGTGTCACTGCATGCTTGCACGTCTTTTCCTGCCTAGCTCCCTCCTCCCCAGGACTCTACCCACAACTTCTAGCTGCCTCCTCTTCTCTGGCTCTGAGCTCTGTCTCCCAATTCAGTGCTCTGCTTTGGACTCTCCTCCCTGTTCTGTTATCTGGAATGTTCCAGGCAGAAAGCTGGGGCAGCAGTAGGCCTTACCATTTATTTCCTTCCCTCAGAGAGCATAGTCCTGTACTGCCCATTGTCTAGTGTCTGAAAACTGTTGTTTATATATTTTGTCCAGTTTTCTATTTGTTCATGAAGGAAAGTTATGACTGATCAGTGTTATTTCATCTTAGCCCAAAGCAGAGGTTGAGTTTAAAAAAATTTTTAAAGTACATTTTTCACTTTTAAAAATTGTGAAATAGGCATATATAAACAATAATATAACAAGCACCCATATTCCTTCCACTAGCTTTATCAAACCTTAATTTTCTTCAAATCTTTATTAAGACATGAAACAATAAAATACAACTGAAGCCCGTGTATGCCCTTTCTGATTCTCTCCTCTGCAGTCCTCTGAGAGAACTCTGTCACGAGTTCAGTGTTTAGCATTCCCTCATATTTTCTATAATTTTCATAATTTTATATCCCCAAATATCATATACTATTACTTTGCCCATTTAGAATCTTTAAAAATAATGCTGTCAAACTCTGTTTATATTCTGCCACTTGTCTTTTTCACTCAACATTTTATATTCTTTTTTTTTTTTTTTTTTGCGGTACGCGGGCCTCTCACTGTTGTGGCCTCTCCCATTGTGGAGCACAGGCTCCGGACGCGCAGGCTCAGCGGCCATGGCTCACGGGCCCAGCCGCTCTGCGGCATGTGGGATCCTCCCAGACCGGGGCACGAACCCGTGTCCCCTGCATCGGCAGGCGGACTCTCAACCACTGTGCCACCAGGGAAGCCCCAACATTTTATATTCTTGAGAATTTTTCTTTTTGGTTTGGTATATGAAGTTCTATTTAAACTTTTATATAATGTTACATTGTTTCAGTATGTTACAATTTGTTCATTCTCTTGTTGACGGAAATGTAGTGTGTCCGTTTTTGCCAGATGGAACAGTATTGCAATGAACATTCTTAAACATTTCTATCTGTGCACATATGAGAGTTTCATATATTTATGAGAAAGATTTGTCAATTCATGCTGTTTACACATCTTTAGCTAGATGTTGTAAGTTTTTTCCAAGAGGATTTTATCAGTTTAAGCATTCACCAGTATGTGAGTGGTCCCACTGGTAGATACCCTTCTCAGCATTTAATATTGTGAAGCTTTGTCACTCAGGTAGATGTGAAATTGTATAGGTTCAATTTACATTCCTCTGAGTTCTATTGAGATTTTGTATCTTCATATATGCATTTGAATTTATTGGCCATTTGGGTATCCTTTGGGGAATTGCCTGTTCCTATTTCCCTCCCTTTTTTTTTTTTGCCCCCACTGGATTATTTCTCTTTTTCATACTGACTTTTCAAGGAATTTTTAATATTTTCTGACTATTCATTATCAGTTATATGTATTACAGATATCGTCTACTGTCTGTGGCTTGTCTTTTAACATTTTGAATGATGTCTTTAGTTATGTAGAAATTAAAATTTTAATGTAATTAATTTACACTGTTTTTCCCCATTTAGCATGAGTGTGTCTGATGGAGATGTGGTAGGATTTGACATGGAATGGCCACCAATATACAGTAAAGGGAAACTGAGCAGAGTTGCACTAATTCAGCTGTGTGTGTCAGAGAGCAAATGTTACTTGTTTCATATTTCTTCTATGTCAGGTTGGTATCTCTTTTATTTGTTTCATTTTTATATGGTTGATAATTGTATTATGTCAACTTTATCCATATAAAATTAAACTCTTGAATTAACTGGTGCTTCTCTCATCACCTTATGTTTATTTAAGTATTTATGTTCTACCTGATTCACTCATATCCCTGTTTTATTTAATTTTTAAATCGTCTCTGTCAAACGTTGATATTATTCCTGTTTTAGAGAGTAGAGAACTGAAGTATAGAGGGGCTAAATTTTAGTGATAACAGAGGTAGCGTTTATGTTAGTTGTTTTTCTGTCATTTATCAATCAGGACTTTTTGCTTTAGGCAAGAAAAGCAACACTCAAGTGTGTTTCTGAATTTAAACTTAAACAGAAGTTTAAGTATAAACATAGAATGTGTAAGAAGTAGAAAATAAATCTATCAAATTTGATAGAACCTATGGAAATAATAAAAAAATGTTACAGTTTTCCCTCAGGGATTAAAAATGTTGCTTGAAAATGAAGCAATTAAAAAGGCAGGTGTAGGAATTGAAGGAGATCAGTGGAAACTTCTACGTGATTTTGACATCAAATTGAAGAGTTTTGTGGAGCTGACAGATGTTGCCAATGAAAAGGTAGATATAATATGTATATTATTGTCACAAACAAGAAATTTGTGTTTCACAGAATGTCCCTTCTATCTGTTTTAGATTTTTTTGAAGAAATAACGTAGGCTATATAATGTTTTTGTAAAAAAGAAGTCCCCAGTGAGTGTTCCATAATGAAAACCTTCAGTTCTAATCCATTGCCTTAGCAAACAGTTTCTTTAAGCAAGCACCCTCTCCCATATTTAGTATTATTTCACTTTGTTTCATATATATGTAAATTTAAATATTGTATTTTAAGTTTATCTCTTTAATCCATCTATATCAATATCTTTTTTTTAACATCTTTATTGGGGTATAATTGCTTTACAATGGTGTGTTAGTTTCTGCTTTATAACAAAGTGAATCAGTTATACATATACATATGTTCCCATATCTCTTCCCTCTTGAATATCTTTTTTTTTTTAAAGAGCATAATGCAGCTCTTGTGGTATGATGCTCTTAGTGGAAGTTTGACCATCCCTTCCATTACCCATATTTCCCCTATTTTATTCATGTAGTCATTAAGTTAAATTCTCATATTAGCCAACTATTCATTTGGCTGAGAAGTAGAAAGCCTACCAACCTATTCAACTTTTGTCTATGAATGATGCTTCGACAGTCCAAGAATTTTAATACCTACATTGGGGAAATTCCAGAATTAAATTCTTATAATGTAAACTGCAAATGAGGTTTTGAGTGACAGGAAATCTATTAAGGACTATCTCTGCCTTATATTTTGGTGTAACATTTCCAGCTTTATGTGTGACATGTTCATTTGGTATCAGATAATTAGGATATCTGAAAATAGAAGGAAATAATTTTTGCTGAGTTGATTTTTCATTGCTTTTAGTTGAAATGTACAGAGACCTGGAGCCTCAGTGGTTTGGTTAAACACCTCTTTGGTAAACAGCTTCTGAAAGACAAGTCTATCCGCTGCAGCAACTGGAGTAAGTTTCCCCTCACTGAGGACCAGAAACTGTATGCAGCCACTGATGCTTATGTATGTACCAGACATCTTTAGACTATGATCTGTTTGTTAAACTTTATAATAAATTACTTTATAAAAGTTTTATTGTGGTAGTGGCACAAGCTTAACTAAAATCTTTTAAATCAGTTTGGCATTAAAAATGCTTAGGAAGAAATTTAGTGAAACTTGTAATTCTGAGTATTAATTAGCAAGTACCAATCAATAGATTGTTTAATACTAGTTATTTTTATTGTCATGAAGCCAAAATAATGTCCAATTTATATGTAAAAAATGTGAGTTCTCTGAAAACATGCAAGGCGAATAAGCTTAGACTGAGCAAGAACAAATGGTATTGATGATGTATTTCATTATCGGCCACTACAGAATAAAAAGAACTACAATACAGTTTCTATATTGAAACTGGCCTTATTTCTTACGTTTATATTTAAAATGTGGTAAAAATTTAGAAAAATTGCCTCCACAATTAGCTTTCTACTGCTGTTAGTCAGATGTATTTTCATATTTACATATTCGTACATAATGAAATCTGGCCTTATCTATATATATAGCACTATTGTTTGTTTGTTTCCAAGAAATGTATTTTATGTCTCAATGGACTTTTTTTCCCCTTATACTTTTATTTGTAGATGAATATCTTATTGTTTACTTTTTTGCATCTGTTTTTATGAATGGAAGCTCCTTTTATTTATAAACAGAAGAAATTCAATTTTGTGGGGAAATAGAAAGATAATTTTCCTTTATGTTCTGTTTAAAAAAATCAGAAAACTTGTTGAGAACTAGTACAAGTTCTGTAGCATTTTTATTCATGAGAAATTCGTGTGACTTGATTGTTCCTATTAACAGTAGCTAGAAGGAGGACTGTATATACACTGACTAACAGCTAATAATGAGATAATGGGGAATGGATATCTGTAGTCAAACAGTTTTCTCTTACTTGATTGTATTTTGTTAGATTCCATTTATAAGTTATTTGATTTCGTTAACCTGCTCATAATATTGGACGTTAAAATGTTAAAATTTTTATTTTAAGGTGTAGACAGCTACTTTCTGCATTCTCACAATTGGTGTGGTGAATAAATAAAGACATTTAGACCTTTGCATAACTTAATAGGTTGAATTCAGCTTTTTGGGTGCCTTGGAAATCATTGTTTTAGATTTTTGTAAAGATGGGACGTGAAATTTTATTTGGTGATCTTTATTATACCGTTTTCATTTTTTGGTTTTCCTGTAGGCTGGTTTCATCATTTATCAAAAATTAGAAAATTCGGGAGACTCTGTACAGATATTTGCTATACATGAAGGTATGTTATGGTCTGAAAATAAAAGGTAAGATTTGAATTTGCTCATTTGTGAGGTTTATCTCCAAAAAGTATTCACACATGTGCAAAATATTTAGTATTATTACAACTCCTTGATTGAGCAGTGTTGACATTAGGATGAGGTCTATTTGGCCAAAGCTTAGGGCTTCAGGCATGTTGGTTGTAGCAAAGCAGGACTTAACTAGTTTTCCTTTGTAGCATTGCTGTTCACTAGGCTTCTAGAGTTGGGTCTTAATAACATCACTGATACAACCACCCACCTCTCAGTCTGGAGATTATACATCTTTGCTATAAATATTTAAAGTATATAAGATGCTTTATAGTGCCCTGGTTTAAATTTCTAAATTTTCTCCAGGATACGATAACTCTGCTGTTTTTCTCCAAACAGAATGGCCACTTCCTCCCTCCCTCCCTCCCTCCCTCCTTTCCTTCCAGCAGTGTCAACCTCACCTTTCTCAAATTTTCCCCGTGTATATACAGACGATATTTTCAAATGACCACTTTTGGTTTGTATTATAAGTTTGTGTTTTTTCTTTTATTAAAGGATACAGGAAGATTAGAACATCAGAAAATATAAAGATATTTGCACATTGTTTCTCACTTAAAATACTAGCTTATTCCCAAGATGGTAGCTAATAAACACTAAATGATACAGTAGTTAAATATATTTTTATTCATTTATTAAATATTATTCAGCCCTTTATGAATGGAGATCCAGCAGTGAACAAGACAGGCACAATCTGTTTCCTGAGAGGGAAACCTACAACTTTATGGGGGATATAGATGAACCAAAAAAAGGCAGTGTAGGAAGATGAGCCTTATGATGTGGGAAAAAAAGGTGTTACGGTTAGCATATAGGAGAGGCATCCATGCATATTTGGAGGTATTAGAGAATATTTTATGGAGAAAGTGATGTTTACGGCAAGACCTGAAATATGAGCAGGAGTCAGCTAGCTGAAGAGCAGAGGAGAAGTGTCAAAGGCACAGGAAATAGCAGGGGCCAAGTTTCAGAGGTAAGAGGTATCTATAGGCAACTGAAAGCAGTAAAGCACGGTGAGCTATTGAATGTGACAGGGTGGGGGGTGTAGGAGAAGCAGAAAAAGGAAAGCAGATAGGCCATGTTAGGGGTTTACATTTCCTCCTAAGAGCTATTGAGGGTTTTAAGCACAGGAGTGACGTGAATTACATTAAAAAATACAAACTTGGACTGTAGACCAGAAAATGGGTTCTGGAGGGCAAGGGTCACAGTGGAAAGACCTGTTAGGAGGCTGTGCCCATAATCCAAGTGAGAGGTGATGGTGACCTGGCTTGGTTGGTTGTATTGAGGATGGAGAGAAGTGGATAGATGCAAAAGACACTTAATAGGGCAGTAGAATGAAAAGAATTTAATGTGATGGTGTGAGCCACGTGCCAAGGATCAGTCCTGTGCTGCTGGCATGAGCAACAGTGGTGAGAAACGTTGAAGAGGAGCAGCAGGGTTTGGGGTCGAGGAGTCATACAGTTGATTTTAGGCATGTTAAAGGAAGGAAGCCTGCGAGCTAGCGAAATGGAGGTGGTGGCCTGCAGGCACTTAGATACCCAGCCTGAAACTCAGGGGACAGTTTGAATTCAAGGTAAAGAATGAGGAGTTTGAGATAAAGAAGTGGGGCTGAGAGTCGTGAGGAACTCTTAGTATTTAATGTTTGCGTGGAGGAGGGGGACACCAGAGGAGCTGCCATGGGCATAGAAGGAAATGAGGAGGCGGGGTGTGCAGCAGGCCAAGTAAAGAGCATGTTTTTTGTAGGAGGGTGTTATCAACTGTTTTAAATTTTCCTGAGAGTCTGAGAAGCTGAGGACTCAGAATTAGTCCTTGATTTGGCAATGTGGCAATCATTTGTAATCTTTTACTGCAGCAGCTTTGGTGTACTGGGTGACAAAAGGGTATATCGAGGAGAGAGTGGTCATGGGGGCACAAGAAAGGGTCACAGTCTTGGGTACCATGAAGGTCCTGTAACCGAAGCAAGAGTGGAATGATGTGGGAGAAATCACGTTTGCGTGAATAGAGGACTAAGATGTAAGGAAAGTGAGAAGGCTTGTGTAAGTAACTTTTTTTTTTTTTTTAAGAAGCTTGGTTTGGAAAGAGAATATTTTTTTTATTCATTTATTCATATACCATATTTGTTGGGTGTTTATTGTGGGTCAGGCAGTGTACCACTTGCTGACGAAATTGCACTGAACCAAAGCAGACCAAACCTCTTTACTTCATTTGTCTGAGTGAGGGAATGATGCCCAAGGGGAGAACATGGAAGGCGTGAGGGGAAGAGAGAGCAGAGTGTCTGAGGGACAGTGAGTGTGACTGAGGCGAAATGAGTAAGAGTGAGAGGAATAGGAAATGATGCCAGAAAAGTAGCTTGGGCCAGAGCATTTAGGGCCTTACAGGCTGTGAATCTGACTTCATATTTTATTAATTAAAATAAATACCATGATGAGTGATGCGAAATCCTTATAGGGTTTGGAGCAGCAGAATGATACGATTAAATTTTTACCTTGAAAGTATTTTTCTGGATGCTGTAGGAGGGCAAGTGTTTAGGCAGGGAAGTCGGTTTGGAGGCTCTTGTAATAGTCCAGACAGGAGATGATGATTGTGTGAATTAGGCTGGTAGCAGCAGAGGGGTGAGAAGCCGTAGAGGGTGTATGTATTTGCTGATGAATTCTCTGTGGGCAGTGAGATGTAGAGAGTGAGAGAACAATCTGGGTATTTTGGTTGGATCCACTGAGTGAATGCGAGGGTCAGTCACAGTGGAAAGATTATGAGGAGAGCAGATTTGAGTGAGAAAAATCTAGATTTCAGTTTTGGCCATGCTAAGTTTTAGAGGCTTATTCATATCCAAGGAGATATCTTAGTTGGAAATATGATTCTGGAGTGCGTTCAGGTGGTTGGAGATATAACTTGGCGGTCGTCAGCATACAGATGGTAGTTAAACCAGAGAAGATAAAATAGGGAGCGAGTGGAATAAAGAACAGAAGAGGCCCCCAAGTATTGACGTCAAGGGCACACCAACCTCTAGTGCTCAGGAAGATGAGGCGCATGCAGCAAAGAGGCCTGTGAAGGGGCAGTGATGGAGGAGGAAGCACAGGCGGGTGGTGTTCAGAAGCCAGTGAAGAAAATCTTGTGAGTCCGAGTAAGTCATCTGTTTTCAGTGCCTCTGAGAATTTGAGTGAGATGAGCAGCTAGGATTAACCGTTATATTTGACTGTGTGGAGGCCGTCAGTAACCTTCCTAAAAGCAGCTTTTGGAAGAAGCTTAGTGGGAGTCAGTTTAGGAGAAAATTGAATTAGAAAATTTGAAGACAGTGAGTATGGACAATTCTTTCTTTCAAGGAATTTTGCTGTAAATGGGAGTAGTGATGTGAATACAGACTAATCAGATTGGTGGGGAGACGAGATAATTCTCATTGTTGTTTCTGTTTTCTTAATGAAGTAAGAAGTGAAGTTGTTCTCTGAGTAAAAGGAGGGACAGGCAGGTGTTGGGGGCTTGAAGAGAGAGAATGAGGTATGAAATAGTCATCTTGAGAGTGGGAGAGTGGGAAATGTAGAATAATTAACAGTCATTACTGAGGGTTCGTCGAGATCTGTGCATGAATTTAAAGCAAAGTATCATAATCATAACTGTGTTTTATTTTCAACTATATTCAACTGTTTCGGTATAGACATCAACTAGGTAAAAAAAGTGGGTTTAATTAGAGTAGTGTTTTGCCATAGAAGAAGGAAGGAGCAAAAGAGTTCAGTCCACAGAAAGGAATGATTAATATGGGTAAGGAAGGACCGTAAGACATGGGTGATGGGGGGAGTGACAAGGGTAATGGGTAAGGAAAAGGCGGTAGGTCAATGGACTTGGTTCTGAAAGTGTGAAAGAATTGCTGTATTGGGGAAGGCGTGTTGGAAAGAAAGATAGCATGCAGGTGTTCAGAGGATGGAATGCTTGTAATTGAAGTTTGGAAATGGTGACTTTACTGGCAATTGTAACATCAAGGGTATGGTTATGGGAAGGAGTGGCTGAGGTCAGTTGAGGAAAAGATGGTTGGAAATGGAGGGAATGAGGAACTGAAAACACCATACTCTTAGGTGGCCAGGAATTATCAAGTTACCTGTGAATGTTGAAGTTACCAGGAATTATCACAGGAGTAGTAGGGAAGGAAGAGACAGTGAACCAGGTGCCGAAATCTTCAATGAATTATGTAATTTTGAGATCACAGGATAACTGCAGCAAGCAGGAATAGCTAATGGTGTATCCTATGTCCAGTGCTTCAGAGGAGCCGGGTGGACTTGTAAAGGACACAAGAAGTGGTGATGAAGAGTAAGAAATTCTAAGCAGGGGAAGGGTTTGGGAAAGGTGGGCAGGTTTTGTGGTGTTGATGGAGACCCATCAGACAGAATGAAGCTGCGAGTTTGGAAGATGACCACTGATTAGAAAGGCTTGCATTTTATTTTGTGATGACTGGTAATGAGGGCAGTGAGGAATGGCTGCCGGGTAAGGTTATGTTTACCAAACTGTATTTAGTACGTAGCCTCCCATGTGGTGTTTTATTGATTTCTGATTTTGAAATAGTGAAGATGGGTTCCGATTCTCATTTCTGCCTTCACCTTCTGCCTAGGTTGATAACCACTGGGTTGTAATATGTATGAATGAAGATCACTTAGAATTTAGTCTAAAATTTTAAAGAGCAAAAATTTGGAAGGGAAATAAAGTGACTGATGTGATTTGGAGATAGGTTAAGGAAGTCTTTTTGTTGGAATTCATTTAAAGAAACAAAATGAAAATTTAAGCCATAATGCTGTTTAAATAAATATCTCTGCTTTGTAGTTTGAAAATTAGTACTGATTCTTTTTTCCAGAGGAAGAAGTACTACCTAGTGACGTGAAGAAACAATTGACTTCAGTCTCCGAGGAGATGATAGATCTGGCTAAGCATCTTCCTGATACTTTCGAAAAACTGGAAAATCCACAGAGGTTAAATATTTCTGTTTTTATCAATTCTGTTTGTTCTTATTGCATTTTCCTATATATAGTGAAGAATTACTGTTCATTAGGGTAGACTCATGCTTGCATACATGCACGCAGACTGATGTATAAATCTGAGAAATATCTTTCCAATTGTTAAATTGTGCACAAAAAGTTTGAGGCTTTTCTGTCTGCTTTGTAGGATGTTTTATGAAGCAAAGCAAAATAAAACTCCTAAGTTCACATGAAAGAAAATATTGAAGATTCAAAGTTGTCTCTTTCTTTCTGTTTATGCTCATTTTTCATTTAATTATATTTATAGTTTGGTTACTTGAAATCTATAAATAAAAGCAACTTTTAGTAGCTTCATTTTTCTGGCTATTAAGTGATTATTATATAAAGAGGTCTACCTAATCAGCAGACAGTTAAAACAAGAGGCATTTAGATTTTAAAGACTATTTTATAGCCGAAGCATTAGATAACTTGAGATATTTGGATTAACAGACATTGGACTACTGGTGCCCAGCAGCTGATTCTTCTTGGAATCAGGCCTGGCTCTGTCCTTAATTGCTGAATGACTTAATTGTTAAACCTCTAAAAGCAGGAGTGCTCTTGAACAGTGATTGATTATAATGTGGTAATAAAATTTTGAGGCCAAAATCCTTTGTATGAATGTGAAGCAGTTAGTTGAAATAGAATTCTGACTCTGGCAAAATGCAATGTTAATGTATTCTTTTTTGGATGAGATTTGTGGTAGATTTTGATGGATTTCAAAGTATGAGGTAGAAATTCAGCTCTTTTTCAAAGTGATTTTCCCCCTAGCAATTTGTTTCAGTAGTTTTTATGTAACTTTGAGAATTTCTGAAAGAAATAACTGTCAACTGGGGAAAGGTACTAATAACACTATTTCATATTCATTTTTACATTTTTCCCTCCATGGAAGAAGAAAAATCACCATTTACATGAAAAATTACTGTTCACATGCATTTCAGATTTTTTCTAGGAATTAGAATATCTATTGAATGTAAATTACATGTGCTTAATGCTTTGCTTTGTAATATCAACGCTAAGTAGTTTTCTTAAAATTTGAGAATGGGGAATACTGGATTCATTTTTTTAAAAAAAGATTTATTATCTATTTATTTATATTTGGCTGTGTCGGGTCTTAGTTGCGGCCTGCGGGCTCTTTGCTGTGGTGCACGAGCTTCCCTCTAGTTGAGGCGCAGAAGCTCAGTAGTGGTGATGCACGGGCCCAGCTGCCCCACGGCATGTGAGTTCTTAGTTCCCTGACCAGGGATCAAACCTGCATCCCCCACTTTTGGAAGGTGGATTCCTTACCGCTGGACCACCAGGGAAGTCCTTGGATTCATTTTTAATAAAGGTATATCTTGTAAAGTTTTAGTGTCAAAACAAAAACTAGTTAAATCTCTTATTTCAGGTTCTTTGTAAAAGTCTCCGGTATTACTTCACTTATGTAGATTACACTTCTAAACCAGGGGAGAACAAAAAAGGCCTCTGAACAGCCAAAATATATGCCATAAACATGAATTCAAGTTCACTTAACTGCACTTCCAGTGGACTGCGTGAGGCCACATTCACAGCATATTTGCTTTTCATTTATAAATACAGTTTGACAGGCTTGGATATCTGCTTAACATGAAAATCAGGTATGGATAAGGAATGACACCATAAACAATTAGTTTGGGACAAAACACTACTGACACTTTAGTAAGCACGCAAGTCAGCTGTTGAATGTAGAAGTACCTTGCTGTACTAGAGAGTAGCCCAGAAGCTATAAGCATATAGTGGGTATTAGGGTATGAAGAGCATCTTTAATCCAGTGTGTCCTTTAAGTGAAGATCTTCTTCTTTTAAAAAGCATTAAAACTTGTCCTTAGAGTTAACACAATTAAAGTTGAACTCACCTTTCTTAAATTTTTTTTTAGGGTTTCTGTACTATTGAAGGATATTTCAGAAAATCTGTATTCATTGAGGAAGATGATACTTGGTTCTACTGAGAATGAACTGAGGCCCAGCAGTAATTTTCACTTATTACCGTTGGAAGAGCCCACTGCTGGTGAAGTACAACAGAAACAAATTAGAGAACATAAAATTTTTACTAAAGTTACAGATGAAGCATGGGACACAACACCTGATAATTTAATTAAACATGATGGAGAAAATGTACTTGCAAACGAAGTAAAACAAGAAGAAGATGGATTTGAAGATGAACTAGAAGATAATAAGTTGGAAGAGACTCCAGAAAGAGTTTGTTTCATGTCATTAGATATTACAGAAGATGAACTCCAACGTTTGGAACAACAGGCTCAGGAAAAACATCTTGGTGATGTTACTTGCAAATCTCCTGAGGTACTAAATACAGTAAAGAGAAGACAATTTTCATTCATGGTAGTGGTTGGCTGATTTTTTCTGTAGAGGGGCAGATAGTAAATATTTTAGGCTTTGCAGACCACACAGTTTCTGTTGTTAACTGCCCAGTTCTGCCAATTCAGTGTGAAAGCAGCTATAGACAAATAGCCTGTCTGCATTTCAGTAAAACTTTATTTACAAAAGCAAAAAGTGGACTGGGTTTGCTACTCCTGACTTACTATAATAAGCAGCATTTTATAGTGGAAAGATTTTTAGTGTCAATACACATTTGTTATAATTTGCTAAGCATTTCTCCTACCTAATATATACCTCTTCTTTTTGTGGATTCCCTACATATCTACTAGGGATTCTCTTCCAAACTTGATTTTTGAGAGTAGTTTTATTTCTTCATATGGGTTTTCTTCACTTGATAGTCTGAGAGGGTTTCTAATAAACTGATGTTTTTGCTTGACACTAACCTTTACTGTCATCTAGAGTCAGAAACCTACATTTTTTTCTTGATAGATTATTGTTAAACATTCTATATTTTCTCTCAACTTCATGTTTAGGTTTCTAATTATTATGTTCTGATCTGATTAGTTTAATTTGTGAGATTATGTTTTTCTGTTGGCTAAGAAGCATATTTTTTGAAATAGTGAAGTTGTATTGGAGGAATCATTGTGTTTCTTTTATTGTAAAGACAAAAGAGACATGTAGCTGTATAATTTTTACCTCATTTGTTTTTCATTAATTAAAAAAATTACCTTTGTTGCTTATGTTTGGTAGAATTTTATACATTTTCTTTTATAATAACTAAGTTTTAAGTTTTTAAAATTAGATTTGAAAGTCATTTAATAGGATTATTTCCTCAGTTTTCTAATGACAGAGTCTCAGTACTTCTCTGTGTTTGGTAACTATATTAGTAATCACTTCTGTCAGTATATGAATGCACTTTATTTTAACATTGTTTTCATACCAACCATTTGTAAAGCAGATTCTTCTTTTGGGGAATATCTTTTGCTAACATCTGCATTACCTTTTGATTTTCTAGAAATTTTGTATTAGTTATTCACTTTAAAGTGATATGTTTCATACAGTGACATAGAATTGTGATCAGGATTTCATGATCTGACTCACATCTTTTACTCCAATTATTGCCATTTTTTTATTCTGTAATAATTATTAGCATTTAAAAAATTCATTAAAGACCCACACAGCAAATAAATAATGATTTAAAAAGTAAAAACACTTCTGTGTTTTTATCTTTCTATCTACCTGTCATATAAACATATAAATATATATTATAAATTTATTTATTAGAGAAGAATAGGAAGTAGTCTAAAGTTATTTAGCATATAGGAACTTTATTTTGTGGAAAAGAGGGTATGGAGTCAATTATGCTGGAAATTAATGTTTGAAATTTTTTTTTTTGTCTTCCAAGGATAACGAAGAGGATATATCTTATGTAATTGAGAGTGATGAAGATTTAGAAATGGAGATGCTTAAGGTATGTTCAACATTATGGAAAATTACTTCCAGTTCTTTCCAAGGGACATTAATTAAGTAAAATATTGCCTAATTCTAAACTGGTCCCACCACAATGAGATTGCTATCACTTATGTAACATTAGATTTTGTTTTCCATTTCATATTTCTTTATATCTTGGTCTATGAATAATGTAGTAGTAGTAGGAGTAGTATACTAATTTTTACATAGTAGAAAACAGTAGTATGTTTTCTCTTCCCTCTTAGGTCACTTACTTTTCCTGGAACATGGGTAGTGATTCAGCTCTCCAGTATTGAAATAGGTTTCTCTTTCTTCCCATCCATGTATATCCACTTGTATTTGGAGGTTCTGTTTTTATACATTCCATATTCTTCTTTACTTCCTTTGGTTTTATTTGCTGTTTTCTATTATATATAATTTTCTAATGTTTTAAATGGTTCAGTTTTCCCCTATTTTGTTATCAAAGTTGAATATATCATTTAATAATTTATGTATTTTCTACTTCACCTGACCTCGGGTTTCTTTGTCAGGTCTTATGAATCAAGGATGGAAAATTAGAAAGAAAAGCCTAAATTTTGCTAAATAAAGTGAAAAATGAAGAAAAACACAGAAGTTCACCATTACGCATACTTGTTAGTCCTCATCTTTAGGTTGATGTGATTTTTCTTTTTATGAAATGAGATTAAGTTCCTGATTCTTTAATTTTGAGGCAGTGTAGTGGGTAGTGATAGGAATGTGGATTCTGAATGTAAATGTGGGTTCAAATTCTAGCTTCTCCCTTTATTAGCTGTGTGACTTTGGGCGAGTTTCTTAGCTTTTTGATACTCAGTTAACAGTCGTATTTATTATTAAGGTGTTACTTTTGAAGAGTTTACTAAAGAGCCTGGCATTTCCTAAGTGTTTATAATAAACATTAGCTAACAATAATAAAAGAGTGTACATACTAAACCATATTCCTTTAGTGATGAGCCATTTCTCCGAGGAGTGCCGTTAAAGTAGTGCATTTATAGGATAGTTGTGGACTTTCACAACTTTATATTATATATTGAACCTCTTCACAACTTTATATTATATATTAAACCTCATATGAGAGAACTTTATTTCCAAAATGCTTTTCTAAGTCTGTTTGTTGACTTGAATAAAAAATCAGGAAGAAAATCACTTGTTTTTCCTTTTGTAGGCCTGAAATGAATACACTTTTAAAAAAACCTTTAAAGTCAAACTTACTAAATGGAAGGTTTAATATAAAGAGAAAATGAGAACTGTGGTTTAATAATTCTTCCTGTTATTTCTCAGTTAGAAATTTTACAGATGAAACAATTTTGAAATATCCTTAGGTTCGTTAAATAGATAACCTTGATTTAGGGGAGGAAATCAGATATCAAGCCAAAATGAAAACAAATAAACTTCATTTCACATTTGTAATATTCCTTTCCTAAAATTATCTGTCTTTTGTTGTTGTTTTGACAACTCCGAAAACACATTTATTGTTTGCTTATAGTTTAAACCTTACGCTTACTCAAAAAGAATGTGACTGACACATGATATAGAGAAACTCATTACAAAAATAACATTAAAACCCACATTTACCACTTCGGAATTGAAAGCATTGAAATATGATAAAGAAAAAAATGTTTTAAATAATCTAAATTCAAAATTTATGGTAACTTTCCCTGGGGGCAGTTCATTATATGGTATTAATGAACCCTGTTTATGCTGGCAGTATTCCTCTTTGGCCTTGTGCCTTAGAAACCGTTCTTGAGCACATATTTAAACTGGAGCACACATGTTCTTTTGTGGTATTGCTTGCACATCTGCCAGCTTTGAACTAAATTGTAGGCTCTGTTAATAATACTCCTTTTGTGTTCGCTGAAAAAGATACAACACTGTCAATGATTTTGCTTTTAAAAATTCTTTTAAACGTTCAGTCTTTAGAAAACCTAAATAGTAGCACAGTAGATCCAAATCATTCAAAATGCATAGAAATGGAAAGAAATCTGGGTCTTCCTTCTGAAGAAGATGATGAAGATGAGAATGAAGCCATTGAAGAGGAAGAAGTTGTTGATGAAGGTAAGCACTGTAATATGTTTGAAACGGCTCATCTCTGATACCTACCACTGATTTTAATTTAGGGTCCAGGTTTTAAACATTTTGGAGGTCAGTGATTTTGTGGCATGTAGTTAATTAGGTCCTAGAAACTTGTCATTAAATCCCTTAGTGCTTTGGTCTTCATAAAGCACAATGTTACTATTTAGAAGAGTAAAGTAATAGAAGTGTTGTGTCATTTGGTGAACATGGTGCTGTGAAACTTTTCATCCTAAATTTTATATTTTGTTTGTCAAAATCATAAAAAATCATTAATAAGAAATCGTAAATTAATTAATTATATTAAACATTATTGTAAATGGCGTAGGTACACAGTGTCTGTCCTTCAGGAGCTTATTACTTAAAATAAGTGACAGAGTGTCAAATAGCAAAATGGACTAATTTTCATCTTGTATATGCAAACTCTAGTAAAGAATCCACTAAGTGAATCTTCTGTCATTTAAGTGATATGATACTCATTATGACAAGGTGTGGGTGTCTTCTCATAGAGTAGAACTCTTTAGAGCTAGATTTCATCAGTGTTAAAATGTGGAAAATTTAAAATGATTTTGTAGATGGAAATACATGAAAATGTTAAAAAAGTTTTTTTCCTATGTTTTCTTGTATTAAATATGGACAAATATTCATTTGTTTAGAAATGAATTATCTTGACTCTTTGCTTTGCTCTTTCTCCGCCCCTCATGAACCCTTAAACCTGAGGAAAAAATGAAAATCAGTGGGGTAAAATTAATGTCATTCCATTCTGCTATGCAGTTGGAATTTTGGTCAAAGATTTGGTGGAATGGTAATTAAAATGAAGATCTTGTTTTATCTATAGATTTTATTTGTGACAGTAATGTGATTTCTGCTTACTATCGATTGGAAGTTGGTTATATTATGAAATTTGGATTGGCGTTTTGCTTGCCCTTGTTGGCTCTAAATGTTAGTTTTTGAAAGTATAGCAAATTCCAAAACACTGTTTTTTTACGGGGCTGGCAAACTGAATCACAACAAAGTTCTAATCCTTAGTATTAGGTAATTAATCAAAGGGTTTACCTGGAATCATGACTGGTACCCAGAGGACAAAATTGGGTGGATTTAAAAGACAACAGTGACCTTTGGTACCTACCACTATATTCTTTAAAAGAAGTCAGTGAACTAAAACTTACTCCCTCTCACTTTGTGTACTTCTATTTTAACGTAAATGTCCATTTTATTTTAAGACTGTTGGTTACCAGGACCTACTGCAAAGCAAATTAATTGCCTCAAGACCTACTTTGGCCATTCTAGTTTTAAGCCGTGAGTATAATCTCAGTTAATTAAGTTGCATATTTACTGTTTTCTTCACAAAGGAAAAAAGGCAAAGAATCCATCCATTTAACAGTAAAAGCACAACTTCATTATAGTTTATACATGCCACACTGTATTTTTTCTAAGTGACTACAGAATTATTTTGAAGTAATATTTATGTAAAATTCATGTCTGCAGATTGTTTTTATCAGTGGGGAAAATGGTTTTCCTTACTATAGAGAGTTCTGGGTAGAGACATTAATAAATTAATTTAATGCTGACTTGTATTTTATTATATACGTATCTGTGTGCCTGTCTGTGCATCTCATTGTCCAAAGCATGTTGTTGTAATAGAAATTCATTAGACAATAGTTTGAAAAACAGTGATAATCATATCAGTTTTAACATATTCAAAGGTATTTACATCCAAGGGGGGCACATTTATAAGTATTAAAATGAGAGGAATACAAATGAGATGAAGAACAAGTAAAGTTGAATAAAACTAATAAGAACGTAAAACTCTAGACTGTATTTTTTCTATTTTGGGAATTTAAAATTTAATCCATGGAAGCATTTCTTTCATTTTTCCTTTTGATCTTAAAAAATAAAAAAAAAATTAAACTATGTCCTACACATAGAAAAATGCACATAAATGTACATATCAGTGAATTTAAGATCACCTTTCCAGTTGATTTTTCCCTCAACATTTTATTAAAAGAAATTTCAAAGATACATTAGAGTTGTTTTTTTTCTTACTATGAATGCCTGTATATTCACCATTAATTCACTGTTAACATTTTATTATACTTGCTTTATTATATATTGATTTTCTCTCTATCCACTTTTTAATCCATTCAATTTTTAAAATGCATCTCAAGGTAAATTGTAGACATCCTTACACTTCCCCCTAATTACTTTAGCATGTAAATCATTAACTATAGTTAAATATTTATTTATTTATTTAATTTTTAAACTTTTGAGCTAAAATTTACAAAGAAATGGTTAAACCTTAGGTGTTTAACATTTGCAAATCTTAAGTGTACATGTAACCTAAACCCTTTTAAAAATATGGAACATTACAATCACTCCAGAAAGTTCCCTCATTTCCCTTCTTAGTCAGTCTTTTCACCTAGAGCATTTCTCTTATTTATTTTATTTTATTTTATTTTTTTATTTTTTATTTTTTATTTTTTATTTTTTTCTCTTATTTATTTTAAATCAGTGACTCTGTTGGATATCTAGGATGAAGCTGGAATTTATGTTATACTTTAGCTATATGTAATAAAATTTAATACAAATATGAACAGAAGTCCTAGTTGTTCAGTCAGCTTGAATGGGAGGTTGGTCAAATGGGGCTTTTGTTTTCAAGTTCCAGGGTTCTTATATTTTTATTGAAGCTCAAAAATGTAAACAAAATTCTGGAGGAAGTGAAAAAATTAAATGGATTTCAACTTGTCCCTTGGGTTTCTTGTTAGTAAAACAGAGCAGCTTTTTGCTTTTCATTCTCCAGGGTTCAGTGGAAAGTGATTCATTCTGTATTGGAAGAAAGAAGAGATAATGTTGTTGTCATGGCAACTGGTAAGTTGTACTTAAGCAAATAATCTAATCCTTTAAAAAATAAAACTTCAAGGTTTTGACATGCTTAGTCTTTCCATAAACTCTCAAAATACAAATATGTATACAATTGGTGTGAAATGTAGAAGAGAGTGAGCTGAGGGTAGATGCTCAAATTTATGCATGAATTAACTCTTAGGAAGGTAGCACATTAGTAGTGACTGTTCATCTCATACAAGTATATTGTAAAAAGAAATCAAAGTACCAAGGATTTAGTTTTATTTGTCTGAATGTATTATTTTTATTTTAAGGGTATGGAAAGAGTTTGTGCTTCCAGTATCCACCTGTTTATGTGGGCGGGATTGGCCTTGTCATCTCTCCCCTTATTTCTTTGATGGAAGACCAGGTGCTCCAGCTTGAGTGAGTAATGCTTTCATTGCCACATTACCACCCTTTTTTTTTCTTTCTGTGAAGGAAATATTTGATTTATCATGTATGTTAAAATCTAGTTCGCAGTAATGCATTGCTAAAAGTGTTGCTTTGTCTTTATTAGTAATAAATGACACTTTAGTGGAAGAGCTTATATACTTTCTTGAGTTCTCTGTAATCCAAGGCTGCCAGATGGCCCCGAAAAAAATTTTTAAAAAGCAAATTTTATGCCAGTTTACACTACATATCACAAAATTCTTTTCTCTTTTGGTTACCCTTCTTTAGCCTAGTGTGAAGTATATACATGGAAGTGTAGTTTTTAGTTGTGAAAGATTTTAAATTTCTTTAATCTGAGCCTGCAATCTTTTTGGGAAACCCACCTTAACAGCCTGTCTTCTAATACAGCCTTTGAAGGAATTTATTTATCAAATTAGTGAGTTACAAAAAGAGATTGCAAAGAAGAAGGATGTACATCATTATATTTCTTTGTTCTTTCTCACTTAAAAATGAAGTTGATATTTGTAGTGTGCACATGGTTCCAGAATATTTGTTTTTCTTCTTACAGAATGTCCAACATTCCAGCTTGCTTTCTTGGATCAGCACAGTCAAAAAATGTTCTAGAGGATATTAAATTGTAAGTAATTTATATGATTTCTGATCATGTGGTCAAGCGTCTGTGGTATGTGGGAAAATTTTGTACACAAAAAATTTTTATTTAATGCATGGGCAAAATATCCATAATTTAAAAATATACTTCCTTTTTATAGTATATTTATGGAACTGTTAATTTTAAAATCTTTCAAGCTCAAAGAAATCTGTTATGTTCAGTTCTTGGACTGGAAGGCTAGCATTATTATGATAGAATTGTAAAATTTTGTTTTGGAAGAGAACTTGGAGAGTATCTAGTATTGTCTCATTTCACATATGAGGAAACTGAGGCCCAGAGAAAAGAATTTGCCCAAAGTCACCTAATGAATTAATGGCTGAGTGGGGACTGGTTTCTAGGTCTCTTGCCCCACCTATCCTGTCATGACATAATTCCTAACAAGAATAATGTCTCAGGCACACAGAAGTGTGTGTATATATGTATTAACATGTATATGCATATATATTAATACACATTCACATACACATACGTTTACTGAGTTTTAATAAATGCATACAAATATGTAACCTAAACTTCTAGCCAGATGTAGAATATTACTGTTACTCCAGAGAGTTCCTTCATGTTCCATCCCAGTCTGTCCTTCTATTCACCATCCTAAAGTGAACCAGTGTTTTAAGTTTTTCTACCATGCTTTTGTTTTGTCTGTTATAGAACTTCATATAAATGAAGTCATACAATGGGAACTCTTTTAAGATTTCTTTCCTTCAGCATCATGTTTTGACAGCTCCCCATGTTCTTGCATGTATCAGTAGTTAAAAAAAAAATCAGTGGTATTTTATTATATGAAATTACCACAGTTGTGTTTTCATTTCCTTATTGATGGACACTTAAGCCGCTTCTAGTTTTGGAAAATTACTAATAAATCTGCTATGAACATTCCTATATATCGTTTTATTTTATTTCTTTTTTTTTGCTTTTTGTTTTTTTTTTTTTGCGGTACGTGGGCCTCTCACTGCTCTGGCCTCTCCCGTTGTGGAGCACAGCCTCCGGACGAGCAGGCTCAGCGGCCATGGCTCATGGGCCCAGCCGCTCCACGGCATGTGGGATCTTCCCGGACCGGGGCATGAACCTGCGTCCCCTGCGTCGGCAGGCGGACTCTCAACCACTGCGCCACCACCAGGGAAGCTCTTACTTTCTTTCTTTTTATTTTTAATTTTATTTTTGGCTGCGTTGGGTCTTTGTTGCTGTACACGGGCTTTCTCTAGTTGTGGTGAGCGGGGGCTACTCTTCGTTTTGGTGCGCGGGCTTCTAATTGTGGTGGCTTCTCTTGTTGAGAAGCACAGGCTCTAGGTGCATGGGCTTCAGTAGTTGTGGCACGTGGGCTCAGTAGTTGTGGCTCGCAGGCTCTAGAGCTCAGGCTCAGTAGTTGTGGCGCATGGACTTAGTTGCTCCGCGGCATGTGGGATCTTCTCGGACCAGGGCTCAAACCTGTGCCCCCTGCATTGTCAGACGGATTTTTAACCACTGTGCCACCAGGGAAGTCCCAGTGTATACAAATTTTTGTACAGACATATATTCTCATGTCATTGGTATAAACCAAGGAGTGGAATGACTGGGTCATGTAGTGGATATATGTTTAACCTTTTTATTCTAATTGAGGTAAATCTACATAATATAATATTCACCATTTTAATTATTTTCAAAGTGTACAGTTCAGTGGCTTTTAATACATTCACAGCGTTGTACAACCATCACCACTATCTAATTCCAGAACATTTTCAGAACCCACCCCCAAAACCTCCATGTCATGAAGGAGTCATTCCCTATTGTCCCCTCCTTCACTTCCTTCCCGTCACTAATCTTTCTGTCTCAATGATTTGCCTATTTTGGACATTTCATAAAATGGGCTCATACAGGATGTGGCCTTAATGTGTCTGGCTTCTTTCACTTTGTGTAATGTTATCAGTACTTCATTTCTTTTTGTGGATGAATAATATTCCATTGTATGGACATTTCATATTTTATATATTAATTCATCAGTGCTGGACATTTAGGTTGTTTCTACTTTTTGGCTGTTATGAATAATGGTACTATGAATATTTGTGTGTAAGTTTTTATGGGAACATATGTTTTCAGTTCTGTGTACATGCCTAGGGGTAGGATTGCTGAGTCATATGATAATTCTGTGTTAACTTTTTGAGAAACTGCCAGATGTTTTTGAGAGTGGTTGTACTGTTTCACGTTCCCACCAGCAGTGTCGTAGAGTTCCAATTCCTCCTCATCTCTGCCATCACTTGGTATGGCCAGTCTTTAATTTTAGCCATTCTAATAGGATGTCAGTGTGTTTTTAATTTGCATTTCCTTAATGACTAATGATGTTGAGCATCTTTTCATATACTTATTTCTTTGAGGAAGTGTTTATTTACATCTTTTGCCTATTCCTTATTTTTGTTTTTTTCTTATGAATTTTGATAGTCATTTATATATTCTGAATATAAATCCTTCATTTGGTATATGGTTGTCAAACATCTCTTAGTTTATGATTTCTCTTTTCATTCTCTTAACAGTTCCTTTAAAGAGCATCACTTTTTCATTTTTATAACGTTCAGTTTGTCAATTTGTTGTTTTATGGATTTTGCTTTTTGGTGCCTCACTCATGATCACAAATATTTTCTTTTTTATTTCCTTCTAAAAATGTTATAGTTTTATTTTTTTTATTTTTATTTTTTTCGATACGTGGGCCTCTCACTGCTGTGGCCTCTCCTGTTGTGGAGCACAGGCTCCGGACGCACAGGCTCAGCGGCCATGGCTCACAGGCCCAGCCACTCCGCGGCATGTGGGATCCTCCCAGACCGGGGCACGAACCTGTGTCCCCTGCATCGGCAGGTGGACTCTCAACCACTGCGCCACCAGGGAAGCCCAGTTTTATGTTTTACATTTAGATCTATGACCCATTTTGTGTACATTTTGCATATTGTACCAGGTATTGATTACAGTTCTTTTTTTTTGCATAGACATATCCATTTCTTCCAGCTCCATTTGTTGAAAAGACTATCCTTTCTGCACTGTATTTCTTTTGCACCTTTGTGAAAAATAAATTGACTAAATGTATGTGGGTTTATTGCTACACTCTTTATTTTCTGTTCTATCAACCTGTTTGCCTGGATTGGTGTCTTGAGTACTATAGCTTTGTAATAAGCCTTGAAATAGGTAGTACAAGTCTTCCACGTTTGTTCTTTCAAAATTTTTTTTTTGTTTTTGGTCTATTCTGGGTTCTTTTTATTTCCATAAGTATTTCAATATCACCTTTTCAACTAAAATGCCAGCTGGGATTTGATTGGGTTTACCTTGAATCTAGATATCTAAGAATTAGCTGTCTTTATAATTCTTATCACTGTTTTACACTGAAGAAACTGAGGCACAGCGAAGTTAAGTACTTGTCTAAGATCACTAGCTTGTAAGAGGTAGAACTGAGATTCAAACCTGAATAGTCTGGCGTCAGAACTAATTATTTCTACGATTTCCTGTGTTAACTAGACTGAGTTAATTTCATGAGATGAAAAGCATATCTGTTCTGTTCTTAATTGTTTTGTTCCAATTCCTAGTGAAAGCACCATGCCTAGCACACAGTAGATTAACTATTTCATAGACTTTTCATATAGAACATTGTTTCATTTTATTTAATTTGGTCTGTGTCTTCATTTGGTAGAATGGAAAAGAGACTCTATACATATTTTGCCCTAGCCCTAACCTTTATTGCAGACATTGTCTTAATTAGGATTATATCTGCCCAGAATGGAAATCAGTCACACTAGTTTAAGCAAATACTGAATTTTATATTAAGGATACAGGAATGTCTTGTGGATCCCTCTGAAAAGAAATTAGCCAGCCCTCAGGAAGAGACTGGAATGGGTATTAAAAATACAGTAGGGCTTTCTTTTTATCCATAGCCTCTGTGTGTATTCCTCATTCTTCTCTCTGAGGAGGTGAGCATTCTCTGCTTTTCTAGTTACAAAATAGATTGCTCTGCAGCTTCTTTTTGTTTCTTTTAACACGTTACAGGTCTTGACACTTGGAGACTGAGTGGTTGTTTCTTGGTTAGACCCCCAAATCCTAGGACTTTCATATGCTGTCTGTCCCTGGCCCAAGAAGATGTAGGCAAGACAGCAGAGCACACAGGAGAAACATGGCTGCTATGGATTTAATCATGGAGATGGGGGTCAAGGGTAGGGTAATGGGTGGATTGCTAACACATAAAAAAGGTTTACTCTAGGCTTGATCATTTAACTCACGTCACTGTAGTTTTGGGGCTAGACTGCTGGAAATCAGAATCTGGCTCCTAATGGCACCTTATGCTGAGTACTTCCTGGCTGGTATTGCCCACGTTTGTTTTGATGCATTGAAGTGAAATCAAAGAACCAGAATATGTGCATCTCTACACACATATAACATTCATTTTGTTTTTAATAAGTGGCGTAATATACTATTTAAAAAATTATCAGGTGTTATGGTTTTCAGTTGTATTCATTGGGTGATTGTTTTTATATTTCCTTTCCTGTTTCTTTGTTTGTTTTTACAGAGGCAAATACCGGATTGTGTACATAACTCCAGAATTCTGTTCAAGTAACTTGGACCTACTCCAGCAACTGCAGGCTAATATTGGTAAGTGGTATGATAGAATCTTTATAAGTATTTATTAAATTGAGATATTCTTTAAAGTTAAGCTTATGAATGGATACCGGATGTTACTTCTCTTAAACTTTATTTCAAACCTTATCTCCTCCAGGAAATTTCTGCCTCTTCAACGTGGTGTCTCTCCTGTCCTATCCCAAAGTATCCTGTAATTCGCTCTGCCATAGAAATTAGGCTCCTGCATTGTAATTACCTGTCTATATATCTGTTTTCTTCTGCTAGACTGTAAGCTTTTCAGAGAAAAATGCCATTGTTATTTCTTTATATTTCCCGAGTGCAGTGCCTGGCACATAGTAGGCATTTAAATGTATTGTTGAATAAATATTGAATCTTAGATTCTGTGAAATTATCATTTCCTCTTTTTCATATTCTGAATCTAAATTAAGTCAGTGTAGTGGTTCTCTACCCTTGTTGTTCATGAGAATCACCTTTCAAACTTTAGAAAAATGTCAGATCCTCAAATCTTGAAAATTGTGATTTAATGCACCTGGCTCGAGGCTGCGGCATCTGTAGTTTTTTTCGCAGGTTATTCTGATGTGTAGTCAGGTTGGAAACCACAGTACCTTTGATTATTTGCTATCAGTGAGTATGATTAATTTAAAAAATTAGATAGTCAGAGCCTGTGTCCTAGAAAATGTAAATATAGAATTAGTTAAAAGCTGGTATCATTTTTTTTTTCTTTTGTGATTAAAACATTTCTGTCAGTTTTTCGCTTTTTTTTTTTTTTTTTTGCATTACGCGGGCCTCTCACTGTTGTGGCTTCTCCCGTTGCGGAGCACAGGCTCCGGACGTGCAGGCTCAGCGGCCATGGCTCACGGGCCTAGCTGCTCCGCGGCATGTGGGATCTTCCCGGACTGGGGCACGAACCCGCATTCCCTGCATCAGCAGGCGGACTCTCAACCACTGTGCCACCAGGGAAGCTCGGTTTTTTGCTTCTTGATGGTTAGGCTCAGCTATCCAAGAGTTGCAGTCACGGCTTCTATTGTAATTGCACATATTTCAAACATTCAGCTGAACCAAACAATCTTAGCTTTCTAATGTAATATGATCTCGTTTTATAATTATCTATTAAAATAATTCCTAACAGGTAGTTTTTTAACACTGCAGTGTCTCATTTAATGGTTACTTGCATATAACTCTAGGAAAGCATTTAACAGTTGTTCTAACAATATAGTGAAAACAAATACCTTTTAATATGTGTTAAATATCAGCAAAAGAATGAGGGCAGAAATTAGCATTTGATTAAATATATTATCAAGAATTGCATCCATCAGCTGTTAAACTCCCCTGTTGCCATGTTATATTTTTGCCTTAAATGGAAAACGAATTTGATGTGTGTCCTATTAGGTTGTATGAAGTTCTTATGAATATTTCACTTTAGATTAAACCCAACAACCCTAGATATATAAATTCCATGGTTTTACTGCAAAAGTTAGGGTCTATGTCCATGGTGGTCTGAATATGTTTTGCTCCATTTTAGTATTTGTTTTGTTTCTGTGGTGGAGTTAATCCAGTATTTACTTAGATCCTTTTGACAGGTAGTTCTAGTTCTCTATTTTAATCTTTTTCTAAAGGATTAAATTATGAACACTGCAGTTATTAGAGCTGCGTACTCTGCATAAAATGGATGAAAATGCTCTTTTTGGTTGACTGTCAATGTTGAACAAAATAGAATAAATTCTTTCTGAAATACTTTTATTTGCAGGAATTTGTAAAACGCTTGCAGCAGGGAATATACTCAGAATTTTATCTGTACAGTAGTTTGACATTTAGCTATTCAGATTTATGATTTTTATGATGTGTTATTATTTAAGTAATATGGGTATATAACAGAAGCAGCAAACAGAATTTTACATGGAGACACCTTAAAAGCAAACACACCTGTAATTGTCTTGTAACTTTGGAAGTAGGCTTGAATGACAGGTGTGCCAAAATGAAATATGTCCTGGACCTGGGCAGACACTTGGACTTGCACGTTTAATGTGGAAGTTGGCAGAAGCTTGCCTCAGCTGCTTGTGAAGGGCAAAGTTTAACTCAATTAAAAGCTAGTTAGTTGGACTTCCCTGGTTGCGCAGTGGTTAAGAATCCGCCTGCCAATGCAGGGGACACAAGTTCGAGCCCTGGTCCGGGAAAATCCCACATGCCACAGAGCAACTAAGCCCATGTGCCACAACTACTGAGCCTGCACTCTAGAGCCCGCGAGCCACAACTCTGAGTGCATGTGCCACAACTACTGAAGCCCGCATGCCTAGAGCCCGTGCTCCACAACAGGAGAAGCCACCGCAATGAGAAGCCCGCGTACCACAACTAAGAGTAGCCCCCACTCACTGCAACTAGAGAAAGCCCACATGCAGCAACGAAGACCCAATGCAGCCAAAAATAAATAAATACATAAAATAATAAAAATAGATAAATAAATAAAAATTCTTATTAAAATAAGCTAATTAGTCAAACCTATAATTATAAGGAAGGTTTTAAAATAAAGGAGGAGCTGTCATCTTAGTTTTAATTTATTTAATTTAAAATCTGGGTCATGTAGTTTCTAAACCCAAATAAGTATAGTGGTAACATTGAATTTGTCCCAGCCACTCAGGAAATAGAAATTTGATGTGATCAACCTGTATTTGTTCATATTTAGTAGGTTTCTTCTTTTTCTTTCTTTCTTTCTTTTTCTTCTCCAACTCATTGTACTTGGTAATCTCAATGAATTGTAATTATTTGCTTGTCTGTCTGCCTCCTCTTTTAGAATTATGAGCTCCTTAAAATCATGGATTGCATTTTACTAATCATTTTATACCTAGAAGAGTGTTTGGAACATAGTGGGAATTTAATAACTATAATAATAATAGCTTATTTTTTTTTATTGAGCTGTCTTTTATGCCAGCCCCTATCTTAGCATTTTACATGAATGATCTAATTTAATCTTCAGAATAACTAAAAAATGTTAGGTACTTTTATCACCTACCTTATACTTGTGGGAAACTGACACTTGAAAGCTTAAGTAACATGCTTAAGGTAATATAAATAGTAAGCCAGGTTATGCATCTAGGTAGTCTGACTCTAGAGCACATGTTTTTAATCATCTCACTAGTGGCAAAACATCATAAATTCTCAGATAAGCATCAAGTAGTGATCATCCCCATTGAAGGGAAATATTATTTTTGTCTTAAGTATTAATTTGGTGATCGAGGGCAAAAGCACTACTGTCACTACTTTGAAATATCTGAAGACGTTTTAGTGAATGATTATAAAATAAAGCCCTTTTCTGAAATGCATTACTACACACTTAATTCTGTTTCAGTGTGGGTGTGTGGTGTGAGGGCAGAGTAGAGGCGTTGCTAGGGGAAGAGAACAAAGTACATTCCTTCTTACCTACTTTGTACATAATGAGATTTAGTTCTTCCCTTACCATTTTATATTGGAAAACGTGGATGTCATCCGTCTTCCAGAACTGGCATTACAGAGGAACTCTGCAGTGTAATATGTGATCAGTCACAGACAGTGATGCATTTAATCTTAGTATGAAATACGCTGAGTCTTTCTATCTCTCTTTTTTTGGTTGTTTTTACTGCATTTACTTATTTATTTTATTTTTGGCTGCGTTGGGTCTTCGTTGCTGCGCACGGGCTTTCTCTAGTTGTGGTGAGCGGGGGCTACTCTTTGTTGCGGTTCGCGGGCTTCTCACTGCAGTGGCTTCTTGTTGCGGAGCACGGGCTCTAGGTGCGCGGGCTTCAGTAGTTGTGGCACACGGGCTCAGTAGTTGTGGTTGTGGCTCACAGGCTCTAGAGTGCAGGCTCAGTAGTTGTGGTGTACAGGCTTAGTTGCTCCACGGAATATGGGATCTTCCCAGACCAGGGCTCGAACCCGTGTCCTCTGTATTGTCAGGAGGATTCTTAACTACTGAGCCACCAGGGAAGCCTCTCTATCTCTTTTGATAGCTAATCCATGAGATAAAATTGAAAGTATTACCAAAGAGAAAGAGAACAGCTCTTTTTTTTAGGGCATTATCGTTGCAAATGAGTGATAGCTTTGAGGACAAAGTAATAGTAAGTAACTAATTTCTCTGAGGAATAATGATGAAAGTTAAAATTCAATAAATATGTTGTTTGAAAAATATATATTTCTCTCTTTTATCCATATGCCTTTTATCCATATATCTCCCTTTGCCTATTTTCAATAATGATTTTTGGTGTTATCTGATGTTATTTATGCTTATATTTTTATATGAACCAAATACTTTGATTTGAATTATTTCTACTACTTTCTGTAATATTTATATATTCTAATGAAGATGGTGGTAACAATTTAGATGCGTTTATTACTTTTTTTGAACTTTATTTTCTCCATTTACATATTTTTCTTTTTTTATAGGTATCACACTTATTGCTGTGGATGAGGCTCACTGTATTTCTGAGTGGGGACATGATTTTAGAAGTTCATTCAGAACTTTGGGCTCCATAAAGGCAGTACTCCCATCGGTAAGCTTTGCCAAGTGCAATGTCTTGAAATGACTTTCTTACCAAGGGAGAGTCCAGGATTGGGGAATGGCCAAAAAGCTGAAGATTCCTCTATGAAAGGGCAAATGGATGTTGTAAGCAGGGGAAAGATTTTTTTAAAAATTCTAACCTTGACTTCCTTCTAAGCTTGGCATGTAATTTATTGAGGAATACTATAGAGCAGGACTTGGCAAACTTTTTCTGGTTCTCACATTTTCTTTCCTAATTATAAAGAACAGGAAAGTTTTACATGAGTGTTCTATATGAATGGCATATTTTATACGAAGAGCTTAAAAACTTAAAATATTGGCAACCATTTTATTTTTTATTTTTAAAAATTATGGATTCACAGGGCTTCCCTGGTGGCGCAGTGCTTGAGGGTCCGCCTGCCGATGCAGGGGACACAGGTTCGTGCCCCGGTCCGGGAAGATCCCACATGCCGCGGAGCGGCTGGGCGCATGAGCCATGGCCGCTGAGCCTGCACGTCCGGAGCCTGTGCTCCGCGGCGGGAGAGGCCACAACAGTGAGAGGCCCACGTACCCCCCAAAAAATAAATAAGTAAAATAAATTAATTATTAAAAAAAATTATGGATTCACAGGCAATTGTAAAAAACAAAATGTACAGGGATGTTCTATGTACTGTTTCCCCAGTGGTAATATCTTGAATAACTGTAGTATAGTATCAAGTAGGTATATGACATTGCTACAGTTTATTCTTAGTTCACTAGTTTTATAAGTGTGTATGGGTATGTATGTATATTGTCCTATACAGTTTTATCTCATATGTATGTTTGTATAACTTCCATTGCAATAAAGATACAGAACTATTCCATTACCATAGGCTCCCTGGAGCTGTCCTTTTACAGGCATACCCACCATTCCCATCACCCCTAACCCTAACCCCTGGTGACCACTAATCTGGTCTCCATTTGTATAATTTTGTTATTTCAACAATGTTAAATAAATTGAATTGTATGGTTTGTCACCTATTGGAACTGGCTTATGTGAGTAAACCCAAAAAAAAAGTATTAGAAATTATTTGTTATTCTTTTGATAGATTATCTAGTTCAACCTCATTTCTTATTAAGCGTGCTTATTGAGAGCTATCTTAAATATAGTTTCTTTTTTCTTAGCTCTTCTCATAAAGATTTGAGTGGAGCAGACATTACAATAAAACAAAACGAAAGAACAAAAAACTTGAATGTAACACTTAGCAAGGATATATTGGAAGAGAATCAAAGTAATGTGAATTGAGTTCCAACTACGGGACTGGCCTTGGGTCAGTTTTTTTTTTGTTTTTTTTTTTATGCGGTATGCGGGCCTCTCACTGTTGTGGCCTCTCCCGTTGCGGAGCACAGGCTCCGGACGCGCAGGCTCAGCGGCCATGGCTCACGGGCCTAGCCGCTCCATGGTATGTGGGATCTTCCCAGACCGGGGCACGAACCTGTGTCCCCTGCATCGGCAGGTGGACTCTTAGCCACTGCGCCACCAGGGAAGCCTGGGTCAGTGTTTTTATCTTGGTTAACCCTCATAACAATCAAGCAACATTTTTTTAATATAATTTTTAAAGGTTACATTCTATTTACAGTTATTACAAAATATTGGCTCTATTCCCTGTGTTGTACAATACATCCCTGAGCCTGTCTTACACCCAGTAGTTTGTACCTCCCACTCCCCTACCCCTGTGTCGCCCCTCCCCACTGCCCACTAGTTTCATTACCTTCCTCTTGAAACAGTTCTTCTCATACCAGTAGGATAGCACACTCCCTGGTTCTCTTCCTTCCTTATTATCTCTTCTTTCTCAGTTTCCTCTGCTTATTTCTTTTCATCTCCCTGCCCTTTTAACATTGGCATGCCTAAAACCTTAGTCTTTGGACCTGTTCTCTTTCCTCTCTGTACTTACTTCCTTGGTCATTTCAACCAACATATGGTTTTAACTAAAATCTATATGCTGACAACTCCCAAATTTATATCCTCATCCTGAATTGATACCAGCAATGTATGAGTGGTTCAGTTTCTCTCCCTCCTTTTTAGCATTTGCTGTTATTATTACTATTTTTTATTTTAATCGTTTTATGGATTAATATATGTATATACACACACACACTTACATAAACGTTAGCTGCCTATTCAACGTCTCTCTACTTCGATGCCTGACAGGCATCTGAAACGTAACCTATTCTTAACTTCCTGATATTCTCTCCACCCCAGAACAGCTCTTCCCTCAATCTCCCCCATCTCATTTAGTAGCAGCTGCATCCTTCTGGTGCTCAGGCCAAGATTTTTGGAATTTTCTTCCACTCTTCTTTTTCTCTTACAGTCTACCCCACATTTAAACAGTGAAGAAATCTCATGAGGTCTTCAGAATATGTACAGAATCTGATCACTTCTCTCTTGGTCTCTGCTACCACCCTGGTACAAGCCACCGTCTCCTTTCACCTGGCTATTACAGCAGTCTCCTGGTTGGTCTGTTTTCACTCTTACCCTCCTTAGTCTATTTCAATACAGCATCCAGAGTGATATTTCGAAAATGTTAAGTCAGACAGATCATGTCTTCTGCTCAGAACCCTCCGGTTGCAGACCATTTCACTCTAAATAAAGACAGACACTACATATCTTAAATGATCTGGCCTCTATTTTCTCTTTGACCTCATCCTCTGCTACTTGTCTCCTCATTCACTGGCTTCTAGCCGTACTGTTTGTTTTCATTGATATTCTTCAAAGGTGCCAACCGTGCTCCTACTTTAGGGCTTTGTTCCCACTCTGCACTCTCCCTGAATAATTCTCCCCTGGGTAGTTCACATGGTGTATCCCTCACTTTTCTCAAGTCTGCTGAAATATTAGCTTTTTTTTTTAGGCCTCCTGGGCCACCATATTCAAAATTTCAAATTAACCTCTCTCCCCCAGCTCTCAGCTTTCCTCATATTCCTTTCCTGTTTTTAAAATAGCACTTATCACTGTTTAACTTAACGTATTAAGAATACACTTTGTCTATTGCCTGTGGGTCCCCACTAGAATGTTCTTTGTGGGCAGGGTTTTTGCTGATTTGGTTTATAAAATCTACAACAGTACCTGGCACATAGTGAGTGTTCCATAAGTAATGGGGTAAATGAATAAATGAATTTCGATGAGAAAGCTGAGAATGTGAGAAGTAACTTTCCCACACAGGCAGTGAGTGGTAGGGCCGGGCAGTGCTCCACAGTAGGACACTATGCTGGTTTCTAAAGCAAATGACTTGAAAGAAGTTTAAAATAGTTTCTGCCCTAAAGTAGCACATAGTCCAGTAAAGGAGTTTAGATTCAGATTTACCTATAAAAGTAGAAGCAATAGTACCAAACAATAAATGGTGTATGGAACAGTATGAATAATATAGAAAGATTAATAGTGTTAATAGTACCTGTATAGAGAAAGAAGATATTTGTATGGTGACAGTCACTAGGCTCAGGTTCCTTGAGGACTGCTTTCTATTAATTTAGAACGGTTTAAAGTAAGCTTTTAGAAACTAGGAAGATTGCTTTCTTGAATCCTTTCCTGGGCATTTGATTCTAGAAGGATTGTGTTAGAGGAGTTTTAAATGTTTTATGCAGTTCTGAAACACTTTTCAGTGTTGAATTAAGTCTTTTATTATGTCAGGCTGTGGACTCCATTCGATTCTTTTCATTTCTTGGGATGATTCACTGTAGCACAGGTTGTTCGTCAAGCAACGGCTGAGAAAACCTTTTTCCCCTAGTGTTTTCATGAATTCTCTTTATTAGCTAAGTGATGAGAAATGCCACCTGGTGGTTGTAGGACTCTCATTTTCCTCACTGTTCTCAGTGCTTTTTTTCTTCTAATCACAATTACCCTGGGACAACTGGCATAAACCCACAGTGCTTCACACCATATTATTTCAGTAAGTTCAAAAATAGCAAAAAATCATTAACTCATTGTGCATAAAGATTACCATTTGGAGAGAATCTGACAAAATGAGTCTCAAGAAAGAGCAGCCAGGTAGAAAGCTTTACATCAGCCTCAAAATTCTGAAATTCAAATAAGAGGAACTGTGAGAAATGTGAGACATGTTGGATCTTCCCATTACTTTCTCCCCAGCCCTTTCGCAAAGATCAGCACATAGTAGACACTCAGGAACTATCTGGAGTTAGTGAATGAATGAATGAATGAATGAAGCATGATATCATAGAGTACATAGATTAACTATACCACCCAAATTTAGAAGCAGATATAGTTCTTGGAATTCGTAGATGTGACACCGTTGAAGTGTATGTCTAAGGCATTCCTAAATTTATAGTCACAAGATTAATTTACATTTTGTTGCTTGTTTTAACAAAACTTGGTACTTATTAAGAAACCAAGATTTGCCTACTGAAAGAACAAGTTTCATGAGTTAAGAACTTGGTATAACTGAGTGACAGGGTAATTTATCACCCACACCAGTTTGCTTTTGAAAATTAAAAGGTGCAAGCTATTAATAACTATGCTGTGATGACAGGATAAACTGAGAGTATCCCAGCAAACCAGGCTGTATGGACACCTTTCTCCTAACCAGCCTGTGTGTTATTTTTACACTTCACTGTAGTTTATAACTTTTTTTTTTTGTGGTATGTGGGCCTCTTACCGCTGTGGCCTCTCCCGCTGCGGAGCACAGGCTCTGGACGCGCAGGCCCAGCGGCCATGGCTCATGGGCCCAGCTGCTCCGCGGCACGTGGGATCCTCCCGGACCGGGGCACGAACCCGCATCCCCCGCATCGGCAGACGGACTCTCAACCACTGCGCCACCAGGGAAGCCCTGTAGTTTATAACTTTTAAGCACCAAAGATTCTAAGGGAGAATATTCTGTTCATTTCTGAAGTGAAAGTAAATATTGTGCCATTAAGTTTAATACATTCCACTACTTTATTCTATTTTTCTAAGTTGTGGAAGCAACATTCTTAACTGTGACTTTCTAGAACGTTGGCAAAGGAGGGAATTTATATTGATTTTTCCTGTTAGTAGGTCACTAGAATAAGGAGTTTCTAGTGGCAAAGTAAGAATTTTTAAGTTAGAAGAGAGGTTAACATCCTGTAGCCCTCTCCATCTCATATTTTGATGAAAAAACTGAGGCCAAGAGAAGTTAGCCCTTTCCAAAGTCAGTGGCAAGTCTGGGAGTAGTGGCCATGTCTCTGCAGTTCTTTTGTAGAATTCTTTTCAGTTGTTGCAGTAATATCAGTGATAGCTGACACATCTTGAGTGCTTACTAGACACTAGACCTTTGTGTTCAGCACACTAGACCTTTTATCCCATTTGGTCTTCACAGTGACTTTATGAGGCTGCTGCTGTTATTACAACCATCTTATAGATGAGGATACCAAAGTTCAGAGAGTGAAATAAACAGCTCAAGGGACTTCCCTGGCAGTCCACTGGTTAGGACTCTGCGCTTCCACTGAAGGGGGCACGGGTTCGATCCCTGGTCAGGGAACTAAGATCCTGCAAGCCGTGCGGCGTGGCCAAAAAAATATATATGTGTCAAAAAAATAAACAGCTCAAAATGTCACATCTAGTTAGTGGCAAAGGCAGGCTTTGAACTCAGGCAATTGATTCTAAATGAGATTTTTACACCACTGTGCTGCTTTTTGCCAGATTTTTCTACTAGTTCAAAATGTGTTATGGTTCATGCTTATTTCCTTCTTTTCACAAAACCATTGCTCATCCACTCATACATTATATTGCTTAGAAACAAACCAGGCCCTCTTTTCTTATAGTCTCTATCCTGAAAACTTCTTTCTTTATGTGTATATGCAGTTAAACAACAAGCATTTTTTAGTGCATTTGTAAATTGTTTGAGTAACGCACTTACGTTGATGGAACTCTTTGTTGTTGTGAGGGTGAGAATATGCATGTCCTAAGAACTTCAGTGTTTAAACTTCCCTTATTCTCAGCCATATATTTGCTATAGATATTTTTATTTGCTATAAAGACATAAAGCAGCTATATACATATATATTAAGCCTCGATTAGAGAAACTAACTTCTTTATAAATTGGCATATTCATATATAAGTTGTTAGGCAGACACTCTCTAAATTCAGAGAACAGTCTGATTGTAAGCCAAAAATCAATTAAGTTAATTTGGGGTATTTTAAAAATAATTTCACAGAATTTAAGGATAGAGAATACAAAAATGCCAATTACCTGGTCACATTGATTTTGATATAATTTTTTTCCCATTTAAAAATTACTCCCAGACTTAATTGATTTTTTTTACATGAGCTTTGAGATAATTTTTAATTCAGCAAAGCTATATTGATTGTAAAAATAGTTTTTAATAAATTGTATCTTGTTTTTAAAATTCTGTAATTGCTTTTTTACAAATTGCACTTAAATTTTCATGTATGTACGATAATTGCTTAAACTGATTTGTGAGGTAGATGCATCTGAAGAGCTATGTTATGAGGATATTATTTACTGCATTTGTAATAAGCTAAAAAGAGTATTAAGAAAGTTGTAATCTTGGAAATCGAGCAGCTAATGATATAGGAACAATTTTTCTGATTATGAAATAATAGCATAGTTGATTAGTACTCCCTATGATAATAGTGACAGAAATATTAAATCTAGTTTCATGGGAGGTGTGTTGTTACCCCACTTTAGAATTTCTGAAAGATCACACACTCATGTTTTTCCTGGTACCTGCTGTGCCTCCTGCTTTGGCTGCTAAGGCAGTCAAGAAGTCTTTGCTAGATTGAAAATAGAACATGACTAGGTTGCTCAAGGAATCAGTTAATAATAGATGTTTCATTCTCTCCTTTTTTCTTTTACATATTATGCCACGGTTAACCCACTAAAACTGGTGAGAGGTTATCCAGATCACTGAGAGCTTTTCTTTTACAATAGATCTGAAAAGCCATCGACCAATATATTTAATATAAGGAGACAAAAAAGACTCGGGCTTTGTATAGGTAGATTTTCAGTGAATGAAGGGTTTATAACTTGTGAATGATAGATTAATGAAAAATAAGACATAACATACCCCTCATTTGTACCAGCACTAATATAAATGTAAAAATAATAAATGGAGAGGTAGATAGTTAATCAATGGACTTAACTTAATAAGGTAGATTGCATTTAGAAATCTTATGAATTTAGTGTTTTATTTGAATGATTTCTCAGAAGGCTGAGAAACAAGTATGAAAGAAGTGTTCTTCTCTTCTTTGAAAGAGAATAATTTTAAAGTTGCATTTTTAACCCTGTTTCTCTGTTCCTCCTGTAATTGTCTTCCAGTCTCTTTCTAAGAGGCAGTAGATGTTGGGAATTATTGAGCTCTTCCCTTGGTTAAAAATCACTTTTACTTATTTCAGGTTCCAATTGTTGCATTGACTGCTACTGCAAGTTCTTCAATCCGAGAAGACATTGTACGTTGCTTAAAACTGACGGATCCTCACATTACCTGTACTGGTTTTGATCGACCAAACTTGTATTTAGAAGTTGGACGAAAAACAGGAAACATCCTTCAGGATCTGAAGCAATTTCTTGTCCAGAAGACAAGGTGAGAATTTCATGGTTGATAAATTTTAGTAACTATTTTCTTCTTTTTAAAAAATGTATTTTATTTTTTAAAGTTATTTCCTTCTAATGTATATTTAACGTATTTCAAATTCTGCTTAGCTTTGGTTCAAGTCAAGTGTGATGTTATATAATCAGTGACTGAGGAAGGTAGAAACTAATTCTTCTAATATTTTTATACTCCATACTGTTACTTGAAGGGGACATACACTTAATAATTGACAAACAACAAAAACATGAGTCTTTGAATTCTGTCTAGTTCACTAGTTATATGACTAACTTGAGTATTAAGGAATTAAAAGGTCATCTTAATAATAAATACTTTTTGAGCCCATATCATGTGCCAAGGACTATCGTAGGTGCTTCATATAAGTGATCTAGTTTGATCCTTATAACTGCTCAGTAAGCTACATATTATTTTCATTTTACTGATGAAGAAACTGTCACTAGCTCTTCTTCCTATCTATTTTGCTTGGAGGCATTTTATAGGTATGCTAAGAAAGCTTCCCTGAGCCTTATTCCCTGATTTGTTTTCTCAGTGAAAATCTTATAACTTTCATGTTATGAAATGTGTTTTTAAGTCAGAGTAGATGGAAATAATGTTTGTCCTACCAATATAAACAGAAAACAAATATAGGAAAATAGGGTTTAAAGAATATCATTAGTGTTTTTCTTTTCAGAAAGGGGTAAAAAGAAGATTGACCCTAGGTAAGGAAACCCTATGGTAACTCTTGGGGTCCTTTAGGATGAATTTAAATGTAGAGTTCACTCTTGGCTTGACTGTCCTGTATTCAGATTAAAGCAAGAATGTGATGAATATACTCTGGGTGTTCTGCCTGCTCTAGGGATCTCTCCAAAGTGAATACACATCATACTTCACTTTCTTTCTGTCCTAAAGGTAAAACTTTCTCTTGAAGAAGGCTGTTTATTTTAGGTTAGAGTATCCATAGTCAGATCCTTATTTACTTACCTAATGTTTGGTCCTTTTCAGTCCATAGTATTCTCAATCTCTATGGCATTTCCCCCTAACCCTCTCCTTTTTTTTTTTTTCCTGACATTGTGATTATATTGTCCTCTTATGATATCTTATGTAAATAATTTCTTCTCACTATCTTTCATGTTAATTCTGCTAACTGAGGTTTTTATTACTTTTTAGTTCAGACTGTTATAGTCTCTCCTAACAGACATCCTTGTTCCTCAGGGCTCCCTGATTTTCAGATTTATCATCTGAAAGCACATCCCTGGGTCATGGTGTTCCTTTCCTGTGGACTAAAGGCCAGACTCCTTAGGCTAACGTCCAAGACCATCCAAAGATTTTGATATTGAATGTGACAGTGGTTTTTCTAAAAGCAAATCTGGAAAGATTTTGTACCCATTTTCAATCCTCCAAGAAGAGTTGTGGTAGCAGGGAACCATTCAGAGTCAGAATGCTCTCTGCAGATCTTGGGCAAATAGAAATTTACCTCTTAATGAGCACTGAGATGGAGGGTAAATTAAGACTTCAAAGTATTACCTTTTATTTTCATTTTCTTCCTTTCATTTAATTCTGCCATTTGTTTATCAGTATTCACATTTTTTCTCTTCATTGAGCTAACATGTTTCTTAAACTCTGATCTTATTTGTTTTCTATATGCATGGTGCATTTAAATTAGGTCAGCCCCTCTCACCTATCTAATTTAATGGTTAAATGATGATAGATTTTTTTTCCCCCTCAGGAAATTGTTATGAGGAAATAACAGTCTTTAGTAAACCTCTTGGCAAAGTAGTGAATCCTTCTGTAGTAGTGAGGTAGGAGATAGATGGGCTCCAGGCTGAGCAGCTGCAGCCAGTCTCCTGCTGACACTTTGAGATAAGATGCCAGGAGGAGCATTGGGCCCTGAGACCACAATTTCCTCATTCTGTGGTCAAGGGGATTTCTCAGCCTGACACATGTGCAGAGAAAGTCCTCAGTCATCCCCTAAGGAATTCGGGACGACATAACTCTAGGGGAGGGGCCAAAGGAGGGAGGAGATGCCAGCCCATAATATGTCCTGCCACCCTCCCAGAAACCTTTGCACTGGAATCCATCTAGACTGAGAGATGCGTGTGATGCCCCAAGAAGGACCCTGAGTCAGGACAGATATGGGCAAAAGCAAGATGATTGGCCAGAGACAACCTGGAAGACTGCCCCCATGCAAGTGATCTAAGCCACCCCTATTGGGTGCAGCTCACTCTGCGAGTTTGCCCATGTGCTCTTCCACACCAGCCTTTTGGGCTGTTTGAGTCCATGCAGCCGTGTTCTGAATCTTTTAGACTCCTGGTCCCGGAGGATACACCCCAGTGTAAGAAAAATAATCTCTTATTATATAGTCATAGGACAATGACTATATAATCAAAATATCCTCCCCAAGGAATCCCTGGCAACTGCAACATTTTTCTCTGCACAAGGAACTAAGTTCAACCAGAGACGTCTGATTCAGGGTCGATGGGGATCTAGGGGACACTCCGAACCCCTTCCAAATTAAAGCCTCCTGGTAAATGTATCCAGGACACCGGATTCCATTCCTAGGTGAGCCTCTTCGTCCTTGGCTGCAGGTTGCTCAACATGGGAGGATCCCCTTCTAAGCCAGAAGAAACACCTCTGGGATGTGTCCTTAAGAACTGGAAGCTTTTAAAATTAGACGGGCTAAGAAAAAAAAAGCTTAAGTTTTACTATAAGACTGCCTGGCCTTTATATGTTGGGGGATGGAGAAACATGGCCCCAAAATGGGTCTCTAAATTATAAAACCATCTTGCAACTGCATCTTTATTGCTGTAGGTTGGGAAAATGGACTGAGTTTCCCTATGTCCAGGCCTTCATGTCCCTTTACCAGAATCCTGCTCTATGTGGCTCCGGTAATCAGAGGCCTGGAGAATCAGAGAATTCTCTCGACATTCTAGACGGTCCTCATTTAACTCCCCCAAACTCTCAGGAGAGAAACTGAGCCTCTCCGACTCCTATAAGTACCCCTGCTTCTCGGGATCCCCCTGGCCAATCCCAAACCTCGCCTTCCTATGCATACCCTCTATACACACTGGTACCCCAGGATGAAAAAGCTAGTCCCACAGGGGTAACCCGTAGTGGGACTTCCTATCACCGAGGATCAGGGAGAATATGCCCTCTTGGGCAAGTGGCAAATGGCGAAGGCACAATCAGAGTACACGTGCCCTTCTTCCTAACCGATTTAGCCCAGTGCAAACAAAGCCTGGGCCAATTTTCTGAAGACCCTAGTAGATTTATTGAAGGATTTCAGGCCCTAACCCTGGCCTTTGATTTAACCTGGAAGGATGTTCAAATAGTACTATCTACCCGCTGTACCCATGAGGAGAAAGAAGCAAAGGATTTGGATAGCAGCCCAGGGACACACTGACCAGCTCTCCAGGGACCAACCCAACATTCATGATATGGGTGGGGACGCAGTCCCAAATCAGGATCCCCCTTGGGATTATAAGTCCCTGGTGGGAACGAGGGCCAGGAACCACGTGGTTCAATGCCTGTTAGAAGGAATGAGAAAATGCATTAGAAAACCAGTCAACTATGAAAAGGTCATGGAAGTGACCCAAGAGAAAGAAGAAAACCCAGCCTTCTTTCAGGGACGGCTTGTGGAGGGTTTTAAAAAATTTACTAACATAGACCCCTCCATTCCCGAGGGTCAGTCCCTGCTAGGACAACATTTTATCACACAGTCTGCCCCTGATATTAGGTAAAAACTCCAAAAGTTACAATTAGGCCCACAAACCCCTATGCCCAAACTCCTAGAGGTAGCCTTTGGGGTATTTAATAATCGAGATCAAACTGAGGAGGAGGAAAGAACTTGGCGTGAGTTGAGGCAGGCCAAGGCTCAAGCAAGGTAAGCTGATAGCCCTTGCTGTCAGACACACCGCTGAAGTTGAAATTACCTTGCAACTTCAGGGCAACCCAAAGGGGCCAAGAAGGTTCAGCCATCAGTCTGGAGGTAAGACCAACAAGGGGGAATGCTTCAAATGCAAGTCAACCGGCCCCTGGGCCCGTGAATGCCAGAGGAGCCCCCCAGGCCATGCCCAGTCTGCAAGCAGACTGGTCATTGGAGATGGGACTGCCTTTGGTCCCGACAGGGAAGAGGGGCCCCCACTCCTGAGATGGCCGTGCTGGGCAACTGAGGTGGCCCTGGGATTCTCGCAGCTCTCCCCCATGAGATGTCTGTCTCCATCAAGGAGCCCTGGGTCGTTCTTGATGTGGCAGGTAAGAAGATCAATTTTTAAATTGATATCAGAGCCACATACTCTGGCCTGATTCTCATGCTGAACCCGTTTCCTCTAAAAGCTGCACAGTGACTGGTGTCGACGGAAAGCCTCGCACCCATTACTTCACTGGGGCTCTCACTTGGCAATTTGAACAGTGTTTGATCTCACGTGCCTTTTTGGTTGTCCCTAAGTGTCCTATGCCACTACTGGAGAGAGACCTTCTGGGCTCCCTTGGGGCCATATTACGGTTAGGAGGCCCCAAGCAGCCCCTTATCTTGACTCTGACTAAGGCAGATCAACAAGAAGAGCAAGGGCCTGTTCCCAGCCATATTCTCCAACCAGTGAACCAGTTTGGGACAGAGGAGTCCCTGGGAGCGCCAGAGACACCCAACCTGTAAAAATTAGCTTTAAGCCAGAAGCCACTTACCCTAACAAGAGACAGTACCCCATAAGATTGGAAGCAAAAAAGGGGTTACAACTCCTCATAGATAACTTCTTAAAACATGGCCTCTTGGTGCCCTGTCAGTCTCCATGTAACACCCCTGTTCTGCCAGTTGTTAAGCCAAATGGAGAACGTAGGATAGTGCATGACCTCAGAGCAGTAAATGACGCTGTGGTTCGTATACAACCCCTTATGGCCAATCCTTGTAACGTATTAGTCCAGGTCCCTGAGGATGCTAAATGGTTTACTGTGCTCAACCTCAAGGATGCCTTCTTTTGCATCCTAGTTCATCCCTCATC